GTTCTCTCTAATGCTCATTTGTCTTTCCTTCCTGCAGTTATCAGCAAGCTCAGCCTCAGCTATTTTGGCACAACAACACACAGTTTTGGTGCTCCCCCTTCTCCCTTGCCCATGACAAGGAGCAGAAAGGGTGTCTTTGACAGCCCACTGGGAATTTAAATTTTCTTCCCAGTGAGGTCAGCAGTGCCATTGGCAGTGCATTCTTCCCAATGCCCTATAATTCCTAGCTGAGTGGAGGAGGATGAAGAAGCATGAAGGCTGGGCTCCCCCTTTTCTTTCCCCCATAGTGGAACATACTAAAGTCCATCCAAAAGGAAACAGAAACTCTGACAAGCAGGGCACTAGCACACCCAAAAACAGCCAAGAAAACAAGGGCTTCCAGGAACAGGGAGACAGGAATGGTCTGGATGTCATGACATCAGCTATTAAGTAAAGAACTGGACTACCAGGGCTCAGAAGGCTCTAATGATTGCTACAGCAAGCAGACTATTGGCAAGAGTGGAAAAACAGCAGAAAGCAGGGCAGCATGGAGGTAGTCTCAGGAATTGCCACATGGAACAAAAGTGCCTCCTGCCAGCAGGGAGCATATTTTGTGCTGTGCCTCTGTGCAGCTGATACATCTGTAATGTTTATCTCCATGGAAGGAGTGCAAATATTAGCATTAGGGTGGCTGAATGACTCTGAACACTGGTACAAAGAGCAGTTGCAGAGGCTTCCTTCCTCACATAAGAGTATCTCCTGTTCTCATCCACACACATCTGTACTTTCTGCTCCAGATTTTGGAGAGAGACCTTTAGGAATGGCTGGGATTCCCTGGGTGGAAATGACCTGAGTGGAGAGTGTATGCATGGGATTAGGCACAACCCTAGAAATACCCATGTTACTTAGCAGGGAAAGCAGCATTTATGCAGAGAGAACAGGCAGGGACAGGAAAGAGCACAAAGAAGAGAAATGAAGTCGGAGCTGCTGCTGTGTCCCACACAGCCACCTCCACTCCTCACGCGAGGAGGAGGCACAAGCAGCTTTCAATATCCTCAGTTGCTTTCTTTTTCATTTCTGCATTTCTGTCTCTTCTTTATAATAATCAGGCAGCCTTTACACTGCAGCTTAAATCAACATTGTTACACTTTTGCATAGATTTTTACCCTCTTCTTGGCTTTCCTTTAAAGGAAAGGTCTTACCACCTTCCATGAGTTCATGCAGTATAAAAGGCTAACTTTAAGCAATGCTACAATACAGCAGCTAAGCTTGGTTATCAGACCAATATGAATATCTTCTAATACTTACCTATGCATCTTCCCTTAACATTACTTCTGTTCTGGTTCCTACATTCATTTTGTTGCTGAAGCATTTGTTTGAAAACCCCTTACTGAAACTGATGATGATTCTGTCACTATGTCTGCCTGCTTCTTTTCCAGATGCTGTTTTTTTCCCGGTGATACAAGACAAACCCACCTATCAGGCCAACTTGATTGTTAACTGTAACTGCTGAAACCTTTTATCTCTAGATTACTCAAGGCTACATCTATCACTTAGGTTTCTTCTATTTCTTAATTTTGGTTTTGCTTTGTAATTGGAGATTTTCACGACATCCTGGGAAACTTTCCAGCACTTTCTGGTGTCTCACAACAATTCTAGTAATTAAAGATGCTGACTCTTCACATTGTGGCCTTTCTCATTCCGTAATGTACTTCTAGTGCTCCTCTCTGTTTCCCCATTCCTGTGGTTAGCCTCTGCAGAAGCACAGCATGCATCCCCTATCCTATCTCCAGTGGTGACTTCCACCCCTCCAACATTTAACTCTTCTATTCCTGTAAGCAAGTTTTTATAATTTCATCTTCTTTCTGCCTTCACTCACCCATGAATGATGGATGCTGTTTTCTTTCTTAGGATAAGAGAGTTAAGATACCTTTAACATCCAGAGTTGTCTTATAATACAATTGGGAGTTTTGATCTCTTTCCTTCTATGTGTTGATTCTTCTTTTTAAGTTAAAAAAAGCCTTTGGCATTTCTTTTCCCTGTGTAACTACTTTTTCAACTTCTAGGGAGCAGAATATAGAGGTTTGGCCTTGGTCCGTTTTCTTGGACCTTTGTCTGCTCTGTGATGGATACAGTTTGCTGGTTCAATAGTTGGGGCATATATCAATCTGTTCCTAAAGTGAGTTACACGGTTTGATCAAAGCAACACCTTGGATACAATCAGAAAGATGAAACCCTTATCCCTTCACACCCAGAGAATTGTCTCTTTCCCTTGCAGCTTGCTCCTTTTCATTCAAACACCTTGGTCAGGTTTAAGCCAGTTTGCAAGTTGGCCGGGGGCTGAATCCTGACTGTGGTGTGAGCTTTAAATGTAACACTTGTGTGCATGTGTGACATCTGGTGTGGCCCTGCCAGCACGAAGGACCCCACTCATCCAAAAGACCCTAGCATTTGTCACCCGGGAGTGTTGCAGAAGCACCCCAAAGCTTTGGTAAAGTCCTGCCAGCATGGTGGACCACACCACCCAGGAGAGCTGTGTGTTTGCTGCCTGAACCTGTAATAGTAATGGGTGCACAGGATCTCCAGCCAGCTGGGTAATCCACGTGTCTGCTGTCACTGGCACTGAAAGGCAGCACGCTGTGTAACTGTTTCCCGTGCCAGCATATGGCACCAGGCAGGCACACATCCTTTTCCTTGCTATCCTTCTTCCCTTCTCACCAGGATCCTGACAACTGCACCAAATGTAATGTACTGGCATAAGGGCTTGTTATGGATCCCAATAAAAAAGGCACTCAGAGCCCACAATATAGCATTAAAATACTATTTATTGCACATAATACAAGAAAGGGTATAGCAGTAGAGAACCCCACACCCTTTCAGATGCTGCAAACACCAAGCTGTACAGCACAGCACAGCTATCTAGTCAGGCCATGGCACTCTGTACAGATCTTATCCGTGCTGAAGTTCACCAGCACCATGATCTTCAGGGCTTATATAGTAATTTCCTAGGAGTAAACAACTTTATGCATCATTTTGCTGTCAAGCAAAAGGTTGTTCACATGAGAACATGCTGTTTCTAAGACAAAGACACGGTGGTGGCATCACCACCAGGGGCCCATGGGAGTCACCTGTGAACTCCTCAGAATTAGCCAGCTAAGTTTATCTGGCAGCCAGGTGATACGTGCAGCATGGCACAGACATGCTCCCACCTACTCACATCAACTGTCAGGTGAACCATGTTTCTGTGAAGACTTCCCAGTTCATAACTGCTCCTTCTATTTCTCTCCTGTTACCTTAGAATAAAGAAGCAGGACACCTATTTAGGCAATAGGGGTCTGGGATCTCCCCACCATTGCTCCCCTTTCTCTCCCAGTTCTGCTGTGACAGAGGGCACGTGCTTTAAACACAGCACATGAGCCCAGCTCCAGTGAGAATGTTCTGCAGCTGTGTCAATATTTGAGTTTGGAGAGGCACCAAAGAGAGAACAGTAGGAAGCACTGTGGCTTCAAATACAAGCCCCCTTGCATGCCTGTGCTCCAAGCACTCAGGGAAGACTTAGCTAACGTGCCCCTAAAGAGAAAATAATTAAAAATTAAGACACCCAAAGGTTTATCAACTGAATTCACCTTCCATCTTTACATCACATCGAAGTGTTGTGGATCTCACTCTAACACCTTGTCTGCAAACAGGTCATAAAAGTTTACAAAAAAACGTTAATGTAGAAACTGCAAAGAGCACCTTTTAGGAGTGTCACATAACTATTCATAGCACCCTATACGGGAACTGTGTTACTTATGATTCCCTCTATATTTTCCTCTTGTACAGTGGGCATAAAACCCCCAGAGAATTTAATAAAGCTCCTAAGCAAGACTAAACAAAAAAATTTGGGGAATTGCAGATGTTTGAGAGGCATAAGACAGAGCAAGAACAGCTAAAACTGAGGATTCAGCAAATGACAGTGGTGTTCCTGTAACATGTGAAAAGAGAGTGCAGAGCAGGAAAAGTCTGAAAGACCTGTTAGGTGTGGTATTGTCAGCCCTTCCTAGGAGGTCAAGTTCACACAGCTGTGCACTTCCTCCCTGCAACGGGACTAATTTACATCAGCATGCCTCAGTTGGCAAACAGGCACTTAAGAAGATGGAGCAGAGGGGATATTGGGATGTAGTTATGGCAGTGCTGCCTTGTAATGTTTTGGTTCAGAGGTACGAAAGAAGGGGAAGAGAAGAAGCAAGAATGTGTGAAGAAAAACAAGGGAAAAGAATTATTGAACCCAACTTGAATGTGTAGAGGAAATGGAAAATCATCTGAGCAGTGATGAACTAGTCAACCTTTATGTGGAGAGATGAGGAGCCTTTCAGCTGGAGGCACTGAAAATTGCACAGGGAGACACAAAACTATCCTTTTCATGTCCTCAGACAGACTATCTGGTCATTGTAAGTTCAAGGAAACTGACAGCAAGCAAACCAAGTGACAGCGGAGAAGGAACACTCAGCCCTCGCTCCAAGGCAGGACTCTGCTTCTGCTAATTGTGAAAAATGCTCTTCATATTACAAGGTACCTTGTAAACACTTGGGAAGCTGCTTACTAGTAATGTCTGGCACCAGCATGAGTTTCAAATGAGCAGAAGTGTTGCTTAGCTTCAAGAGTAAAAGCCCAGGAAAGTGCTTGAATAGCAGCAAGTAATTAAAAAACTTGAAAGGAAAGCACTGTTCAAAGTCACTGCTTTGAGGCTTTTCCTGCCTTCCCCGCAGTGCACTGTCACTGACTGACAATGTAACACAGGCAGAATTGAAGCACTGCTCATTAACACCATGTCTTCTCTAGGAAGTTATTCCCATCAACAGCCAATGCCTTCCCTGTGCCAGGCCCAGCATGTGGCATGTGTAGGCTCATAGCTTCAACGAGCAGCTTCTGCAAAGACCCACGTTTATACAGGCAGTTAACTCCAAGACTGCTAATTCTGCCTGGGGCTGAGCCACGGGGCCTTGTTGCTAACAGAGAGATGAGAGAGCTAGGTTTTATTTTGTTTTTTATCTCGTTTTAATAAGTACTGAAGAAGATCAGCCAGGGCATGTTGGGATGGCCAGATATCAGTCTTGACCTCTACCACTTCTGCCACAGCTCTTGAAGCCCATCCCATCCTGGATGATGTCCACTCAGTGAGGCCTCATCCTGCATCATAATGCATTGGTCCTCATGCTCGGAGAGGATGATTTTAATTACATCCTTTGCTGATGGATACATGGCCTTTGTCCTGTGTACCCCAGGATTTGGGATCTGCCCTGAGACTGGTGAGTAGCAATGCTGGCTGTGATCAGCAGCTCAGCCTCACTCACTGGCCTCAGCACCTACACCATGAGCGGGATGGGCTCTGCCACAGGACCCCCCTGCTGGCTCTTCCTCTGTGGCTTTTTTCTTGCTGCTTGAGGTAAGTGAGGCTGCAAGTGAGGCCACTGTAGTGGCGAGTTCCTCAGAGAACTTCCTTTCCCACCTTGTGGGTGAGCACATGGTGCACAAGGCTCTGGGGAAGGGTGTAGCCCATGCCACAGAGCTCGCATTTGCAGGCAGGGCTGGCCAGCCAGGTGGGATTTTTGATGGCACCAGAGTTTAGTGGCCAGGGTGTAGGACTTGCTGCATTGCTTGCAGGTGAAAGTGCACTCCCCCGTGTGCAGGTGCAAGTGGTTGCACAAGGAGCTGGGGTTGGCCAGGTGACACCCACATATGGCACACTGGCACCCCTTGAGACCAGCTGGGCCAGTCCCAGCAGCCAAATGGATCTTCCTGTGCTGAGACAGAGCCAGCCTGCAAAGGCCTTGCCACACTGCTGGCAGGACAAGGGGCACTGGCTGGTGTGTGGAACCTGGTGTTCCTGCAAGTCTCACTTGGGGCATTTTTTACACTGGGTGCACTGGAATGGCCACACACCCCGTGGGCCAGTGCACGGGCCTTGAAGCTCCCCTCTGAACTATAGCTCTTGCCACACTCTGTATAGGAGGGGCTTGTGGCAAGGGTGACAAAGTGGTGCTTCTTGGGGTGACAGAGCCACAGGAAGGCTTTCTCCTACTCCCTAGAACACCACCTGTGCTTGATCATCCCCTCTTGGGACAAAGATCTTAGAGGGGGGCCTGGGCTGCCAGAATAATCCTCCACCAGCTCTGAATACTCCTCCTGCCACTCAGGCCCCTCCAGTGAGCCCTTCCCCCCATGCTCTGGGGATGCCAGTCTGAAGTTTTTGGAAGCTTTGCTCTCCTTCTCACAAATCTCTAGTCTCTCCTTTTGTAGGACTGATCTTCTAGGGTTCCTGTCCAGTTGTCCTGCAGGCACTTCTGGAGTGAGCTGACCAGAGCATGCACCTTGCATGGCTTGCCAACCTAGGAAGCACTTATCAAACCCTACTTGAGGGAGATAAGAGATCCAGGTCTCCAAGACTTGCTGCCTGCTGTCCCATTATCACTTTTTTGTGCTGCGCATCTGGGATCCACACTCTTACCCAATTCTTTGCACCTGCCACTGGTCTCAATGGTTGAGATGGGGCTGATTCTCAGTCCCCAGCGCCCTGGCTTGCCATGGCTCATGTTTGGAAGCTTCTTGCAGCCCGTGGAAATATTTGGTGGTGGACAGTCTGCTAAGAGGGTCATTGAGGACTGTGGTTTCATCAGCTACTGCCTTGGAGACCTCGGTATCCCCTGCACAAACACAAAGGCATGGTGAGTAAACTAACGCTGGCTGTTATGTGACATGATTGCTGCTGGCTAAGAGGAAGATCAACGCTGGAGATGGATACTGTGCTATGCAGTAAACCTGGGGCTCTGCCATGCGAACCATCACTTTTATGATCTTTTTCCCTTTTAAACGGGAAGAGGAACGAATCTCTGATTTCTCACCACAGACAGCACCCGTGCAGCATTCTTATTGTTTCACGAGCAGTATTTCTAGGACGTATTGTCATGACTGACATAAAACAAGGCGACGCGCTCTTTTCTCGGCTGGTAGCTCCTAAAAGCGACGCAAGATCTATCCCTCGGGGGCTGTAGGGCGCACACGTGCCGGCGACAGCTGAAGGAGCAAACCGGACGCTCGGGAAGGCCGGGCCGCTCATCCCGCCCACTCTGGGCCTCTGCACGTACCTACGAGGGGCTCTGCCTGCGGGGGTGGCCCGGGTCCCCGCGCCTCCGCAGCCGCCCCTCGGCCTCGGGCGCTCCGTGCCGGCGGAACGCTGAGAGGGAGCGGCGGGCGCGCCCGGACGGGGCCGGCAGCGGGCGGGGCGGGGCGGGTTCCCCCGGCGGCGAGGCCGGGCTTCCGGCGGGCGGCGGTGACAGGCGGGCGGCGGCGGCAGGTACCGGCACCGGCGGGGCGGCGTGGGGGTGCCCGGGGACGGGCCCTGCCTGCAGCAGCGGGCCCGGCCTGTCCTGGTGCTGCTGGGGCAGGGGAGCGGCCCGGCGGTGGGGCTGGGGCTGGGGATGAGCGGGCCGGGGCTGGGCCCGGAGCCCCCAGCGCTCCGTCCGGGTGTTGCCGGGCTCGCCCCCCGTGAGGGAGCGGCTCGGTTCGCCCGCGGTGCGCCCCTGGCGGGGAGAGCGCGGTTGGCGAAGCGCCGCGGGCACCTGGGCGGGGAGAGCCGGGCCGGCAGTCCGCGGTGTCCTGGGCACCGCCGGTCGGGGCTGGCGGTGCCGGTACCGCCGGAGCGGCGCCGCCGGGTCTGCTGCTGGCTGCTCCCGACCTCGGCGCCTGCGGCGGGGCTGGCGCTGGCTGCCATTAACCCCCGTGCTCAGCAGCAGGGGCTGGTACTTGTCCTGCCTTCGGGCAGCTGGCGCGTACTAGGCGACCTTTGTTTCAACAGCATTAATAGGAAATCTGTGAGTCTCGTAAGCAATCTTGAGGTTCGCTCAGGGGTCTCACAGGAGATGAGTCGAAGGGAACAGGAGAGAACAGATGTGCGGTGGAGGGGATGAGGAGGAGGGGGGCAGCCCGCGCAGGGCTGTGTGTGCCCCACTGCCTCCCTCAGGCGTGAGTCCCGGGTGGGTCCTGCACAGCACTGAGAGCAGCCTCTGTACTCTGTGCAGCAGCTCCGGAGAGGACACTGACAGAGTTCAGCACTTTTCCCCCTCAGACCCTGCAGAGAACCGGTAAGGGGAGGTTGAGTGTTTCTTAGGGAGGATTTCCAGCGGGCATAGAGGTGGCCTTCAGCAAACGGATTGAGATGACTCAATCCAGGGAAGGAAGGCTGCTCAATTAAAAAGCTGTTGGAATAATGAAGGACCAAAGATCTTCCCTGAGCAATAGTGTGTCTGTCCTGAATTTACTGGTCATGGTGAGCCGTGACAAGGTCTGGCCTTTGACCTCTAGGTTCTTCCAGGGTAGTAGCAGGGTGGTGATGCTCTCGGTGGTATCATCAGTCTTGATGTGAGGGAAGACACAGAGTGGGCTTTGCGGGTGAGTCTTGGATCTGGAACTCACGTGAGTACTCTGAAGGTCTGCTGCTGAGTAACTGCTCCCTTTTCTTGCAATGTGCATGTTTTTAACACTACAGCAAAGTGCAGGGTCTTGATTGCTGTGTACAGAGAAAGAGACATTTGTGCAAATAAGCCAAAACTGGGAGGAGGCATGGATGGCACCAGAGTCAGAAAAATAATCCCGGAACTGGGACTGTGTTGCATCTGACCATTGCTTGTTCATCTTGCACGGAAGAGGCCACTTTGGTTCTCTAATTCTTTATTGTTTGTGCAGCTCCAGGGTGTGGTAATATATGCATGGACATATTTTGAAGTGTAATTCACTTCTGAACTAATAGTACATCTGGAAGCAAAACAGGAAGAGGAAACTACCAAGCAGGTGTAGCTTAGAAATAAATGGTAGAAAAGCAGTGAAACTAAAATTGCAGAAAAAAACCAGTTTGCATGAACAGCAGCTACTAAAATTGCAGAAAAAAAATAGTTTGCATGAACAGCAGCTACCAAGATTTCCTGGATATAAGTGAATGGTCTTCCCCGGGTAAATTCTGGATCTTATATAAGGAATCTTCAGCTCAGAATTTGTGTGAAAATTGTATTTTAATGATCTGAGTCCTCTCCTTTAGCAGAATGTGCTATTCTCCATCGCATGTCTCTCTTATCTAGGAAAATTAGTTTTTATTGCACAGCAAATGTTCAGGTGCAGTGTAGTTGCAGAAAACATACTTAAATACTTGGAAAAAAGGTAACAATTGGCTCTTTAGAGCCTGGCAGGAAGTAAATGATTCTGCTGCCATGTGTTTTCTTTAGTTTTTAAATGTTTGGCTAGAATTTTTGTTTTTTAAATCTAGGTATGTAATTTTTTCTTATTATTTTCTATATGAAATGTACCACGTGCATCTTGTCATGACATTTATGTAAAACAGGTGCAGTTTTTAAACTGAGTTAAATCTGTTGAAATGCTCTTTTATTGTTAAAAAAACATGAAATGTTTTTAAAAAACACTTTACCCATTTTAACAACTATATCACCATGATACATATGGACTTTCTGTTTAATGACAGATCCTTAGGGTTCATTTTTGAGTACATAGGGAAGCATCTCATGCAGCTGCACTATTGGAAAGTGAAATGTGTATCCTTATATAAAAATCCTCAATTTGTGTCTTACCTCCTAACTATAGTTCTGTCCTTCTCAGAGCCTGCTAGTTCCCAGGCATTTAGAGGATTACATGTCCTAAACTGCTGTATGGTTATCTGATGTGAAATCCCATGCTTTTACCTTTTGCATGTTGGGAAAAGGCTGGAGAAAATTCTGCAAAACCTTCTGGGGCTCTCTGGGTACCACAGTCTGGTTCACAAAAAGGACCTCGAATCTGAGAGGCCTTCTGCTCTGGATCCTGCTTCCATTAATACCATGGAGCAGTAACCTACGGGCAAGGAATGGAGCTGGCTGTGAAAAGCACATGAAGGTATCTGGAAAGCCTTGTCTGTTTTTCCAAGGGGTGAGGCCAGAGCACTATCCACTGGGTTCTTTTTGCAGTGTGGACCCTATTAACAACTTCCTTCTTCTACATGGTGCCACACTAAGATTAATTTTATGCCTCAAGGGAAATCCCCCAGTGCTGTCTAAGAACTTGCTCTTCTGTCTCTGGATAAGTGCTGCAAGTTGACTGTGAAGCCAAGTGGGTGATCTGTGTAGGGACAAGTGAGGAAACTTGGTGACTTGCTGGCCCGGTGGCTGCACCATCACTGCACTGTGGGGGGGATTTGGATTTGGTTCCTGAGCGTTTCAGGACCTGGCTTTGGGGAAGTGGTTGCTGCCTGGCGTCCCCGAGAATCTCCCATGAAAGGAATCTCAGTGGATGGCAGCAGTCAAATGTGGGTCCCCTGTCCCCGCTAGGGCTGGGAAGTCCCTGAGAGCTGTGAATGCTGAGAGGCTGCCCTGGCGAGCCATGGATGTTTCCTCAGCATGGGGCACTGGCTTTTGGGGCTGCTGAGCTCCTGTGGGAAATGCTTTAAGCTCGCTGAGTCATAGGAGTCAGTGCCTGCTGTTACCATAGAAATCAGATCAGCTGCTAGGGGTGGGGAGTCCTTGTCCCTTGGCTCCACTGCTTCGTGGTTCCAGCATGAGCTCACGGTGCTAGGGAACCTGAATTCTTGCTCCTTGCCCTGTCGAGATCAGAGGTCAGGCAGCTGTGGCAGCCCTCACCAGAGGGAAGGGAATCATTTTGCTTGGATCTTTGCGTGGCTGCAGTGGTGGGACCCTGTGCGTCTGATGTGCTGTCTTGATGGACTGCTGCCTGTATATGTCATGCTCTTTCATATTTTGGGAAACGCTGCATTTGATTAGCAATAGCTTCCAGTCCTTTGGGAGCCCAGAAAGGTGGAAACTGTTTGCAAACTGGTGAGTAGCAGATAAGGGAGGACACGAAGTAAATAATAAGCTTGGAATGGTCCAAAGGGAGAGGAAAACCACTGAATATCCAATTTTCTGTGGTCTCAAAGTGCATCCCCAAGCTTGGTGGCAAGTACAGACCTGAGCATGTGTGTGACATCTTCCAGAGCTCAATCTCTCACGGGTCTTGTCCTCTGTGCTCACTCTGAGTAACTGTTTCGTTGTTTTCTCTGGATGAATATACACATTCAAGCTCTAGAGGTGGAAGATGCAAAACATCATTGCCCCCTCTCCATTCTGCTAAAGGAAATAGCTTTACTGCAAATGCACTTTTCACACTAAGGTGTTGTTTCTCCTCAGATCATCTTTGAACCCTTTGCTCTCCTCATAAAGCAATATAAGCACAAGCATTTCTGTGAAACAGTGTTGTAGAGACTCTTGCTAATGCAAGGTGTCACTTTGTTTTTCTGCAGTTCCTCTTGGCTTGCTGCCTGCTGACCACTGAATTACTGTGCATGTAGTCTGTGTGAGCAATCCACATCTACATAGCTGTCCTTTTTAATGTTTCCTTGCTTACTTCCAGGAGACTGGATTCAGAGGATAATAGCTGCTTCCCAAGGATTGTCCCTAAGAGTTGGTACTCTTAGGAGGTCCTGTATGCTGTGCTAGCTCAGACCCAGCTTTAATGTATCTTCTGCTTCAGATGAGAGTGAGAAATATTTGCAAACAGCAGCAAATGCACTGAGCTGTCTGTTTCTTGGACCCTCTTAATTCTTTGGTCTCCTTATGGCATGCTTGGTGAAAAATAGTCATTCAGGCTGTATGGCTTTAAATGAAAGAGATGATTCCTTGCTGCTAGCTATTATGTAGGAGAAAGGATTTACTGGGTGATGCTGAAAGGGGATGAGGGTTGTATGTGTATTGTTTTCCCTAAAAAATTCCTGTTTTAAGGAGCTGTTCACTTCTCTCTTCAGATCCCAGCACACTGAAGCACCCACTTCAATGTTATTGAGAGCTCTGGTTCTCCATTGTGGGGAGAACGAAGGGGGGTTGATTCTTGGGAAAGCTTCCAGCACTGGACCAACTGTGGAAACAGCCGGGCTTTGTGCCAGCCGTTCGGAGGGAGGGGAGCTCAGAGCCATACAGGGAGTGTATCAGGCAGGGGCTGGTGCAGCCTGTCGCCTTCCTCAGCGTCCTGGTGCTGCTTCTGTTTCAGGAGAGAAAAACTATTCTGTCCAGAGCTGTGGTCAAGCAGAGACTCCTTGAGAGGGTTGGTGCAGCTCTTGATGGCCTTTGATAGCAATTGGCATGAAAGAATCTGACCTATCGTGCCACCAGCGAGGAGGAGGAAGAATTCCTGCTTATATTAAGGGAGAGGGGAAACAATCTCTGGATAAGTAAATATAAGGGAGTATTGGGGGAAAATCAGTGAGACGAGAAAGCACCTTTGTGGGGAGGTAGATTTGTGATCTCTGTGTCTCACCTAACAATCTCTGCAGTCCATGTTCTAGACGCTGCAAAATAAACTGCGGTATTTGGGGACCATGGCTACAGACCCGCTGTCAGAGCTTCAGGATGACCCGAACTTGGATGATACCAGCCAGTCTCTTAGCCAGCTCAAACTGGCCTCCATAGATGATAAGAACTGGCCAGCAGATGAAGTCCCTGCTTTTCCCAAATCAGGTAAGTATCCTGCTTATTTTGGATCTGGGTTTTGGCCAAAAAGCAGTTGTTTGTCCTGCAACATTGTGGTCATATCTACATATACAGAGAGCCCCAGCTCCATTTAAAAGCTTTATAGACGCATTAAACTTGCACCACACCCGAGTGAATCATCCTCAGTATTGAACAGCATTAAAAAGTGTAGAGCCAGCTGCTGTAAATACACTCTTTTCAGTCCTGTGCCTGGCTACATTTTGCTGCTGACAGTGTAGATCTGCTGCAAATCCTTGAGTGTCCTCCATTGCGTTCTCTTGCAGGAGAGTTTGGCCTCCTGGACTGGAATGGTCTCCATTCCATCTGGAAGGTGGGGCTGGAGATCTGAGTTGTTTCTCTGAAATCCTGGGCTATGAACTGTGAATAAAGAGGTCAGGAAAATTAGCTGAAGGACGTACAGGATGACCATCCATCAAGGCACTATGTTAAGATCCTCCTTTCCTAGAAAGCCATGATGGTGTCCTTGGGTTTTGTCTTTGTGAATATTTGTGGCATATTTGAACAGTTGTTTGAGAGAGTGTACGTTCTGAGGGACACATGGATCTTGTAGGACTGACAGGACTCTCCTGAAGTCATTGCTGCTCTTGCCCACTCAGAATTTCTGAAGTGGGTTTTCAAGGTGCACAATTGCATACATTAGTCCCTCCCATGTAGAAGTGCCATTTTTTCTTATATCTCTGTCTCTTTGTACTTGCCAATGTACTCCACATCCCAACTTCTGACTGTTTGTACTTTATGCAGATGACTCCAAAGGCTCCCCTGAGCCTGTCACTCACCTGCAGTGGGATGATCCCTACTATGATATCGCCAGGCACCACATTGTGGAGGTAGCAGGTAGGAGCCTTTCTGTTTTGTCTTTTGATGTCTTTGCAGCTGGGCTGAGGAAGGGCTTTTCTAATAGGGCTCTGGAGACATCTGCTGTTTGCCCAGCCCAAGTGGCAATGACTGGTGGCACAGAAGGAACACCAAACTTCTTGACTGTTTGTGATACATGTAATTTTCCATTGACTTAGCTAAACTTGGGTTACTTCTTGTCTCTTGCTGACTTGATTATATTATTGTCAGGACTCAGTTGCTTTTGGTGAATTGTTTTAGATATGGCCCTTTACTACATCCCGAGCACAAAAGTGGTTTTTGCTTGATAATGCTGCAGAAATTACCTAGTTAAGCAATACAGCTCTAAGGTCCTCAGCTGACTGAGTAAGCCACAGTAGGTGGCATCACTCATGTCTGAATGGCCAGAGCTTGCCATCCTGTCCAGAAATAACACGTACAGCAATCTGAAATAGGGGGAATAGGCCTGTGTTCCACTATGAGGACCCTGTTCATCAGGGTCACAAGCATTTGGATTTTCTCTGTGTTTTCTTGTCCATATTATTTTATTTACTCTAACTCTTGGTAATATACTGATGGGACCTCCATAAAAAAGAGTTTTGGGGGTGATCTTTAGGTTGCTGTGGTGAGCCTGAGTGAAGGGTAAGGTCAGTTTGTCTTGTGTTCCTTGAAAAGAAGCACTTCTTCAACTTGTTGTGACTTGATTCATACTTCCTGCTTGACTATAGCCACCTCATACCCCTCCTGATGCCACCTCCTACCCCTCCTACTGCCATCTCTCTGTACCTTGGTCCCTGCCCCACATGTGAATTTTCAAGGAAGCAGAGGCACAAGCTGGAGTCCTCCTGATTTAGGGTTGTTCTGCAGCAGAGTTTGACCACAACGGAAAGAGTCTCAGGCACTTACTTTGGTAAGAGTTGTCTTGATATGATTCTTTTCTGGGCAGTTTTCTCAAATGATCTTTCTTTTTCCTGATCTCTCATGTTCCATCTTTTGTGGAACAAAATTATAATGGCAGACTCAAAACCTTGTTGTTTATTGTCTCCTGCTTCGTTTGACCTGCCAGGTGTTGACATTTGGGCCATTATGCCTTATAGATTTGCCAGAAGTATTTTCCTTAACAAATGTGTTACTAAGCTTCTTTTCCATGGTGCTGGAGTTTCAGGACTGGGGTTTATGGAGGTCTGCACCCTGGTCTCTGCTGCTGACACTGGAAAGGGACAGATGTGTGGACTCCACCATTTCAGTGGTAATAGCCAGAATATTTGGAATGCAAATGGCAGAGGTAATTGGTGTTTGAGGACTCTGGGAAAGGGGGAGTTAAATGATACAGACTGAGCTTCAGACAAAGTGCTTAGCAGAGTTCAGATCAGAGACATTGATAAGACTGGAATGTCAGCCCAAACCAAGGATATACTTTGTCTGCTGCCTCCTGACATAAACACCACTCTTTCTATGGGTTTTCTGTTCTGAGGTAACATGACTTTCTTTGACAAGCTCTCTGAGTGGAGTATCACTGCACTGGAGGTGTGTGTCAGTGGCTGTTGGAACGTAGTCATTTGACACGGTCTAGGGTGGCAAATGAAGAATTAGCCAGCTTCCTGAAAAGATTCTGGGGTGGGATGATGGGAGCTATGCCTGCATTCTGAACTCTTCCCGTTGTGGTTTAAATTTGTATTCCTAGTGAGCTCTGTGTCCCTGCAGTGTCTCTGCATAGTGCAGAAACAGCTCAGAGAAGCTTCTGTTCTTGCCTCTTGCTGGGCAATTTTCGCCGGTAGCTGATGTGTCTGAAAGCATGTGATGGTCCCACACACGGCGTGTGGTGTGATGCCTTTCTTGGCGCTGGGAGAGCTTGGAGCACAGCTCCAGATAGAGGATTTGCTGCCATATAGCTTTGAGACTCGCTGGTTTCTCACCTCCTGAAAGGAGAATTTATGACGTTGATCAAAGGGGTCTGACTTGTAGTATTGGTTCCAGGGTGAAGCTGTTAGGTTTTGGTTTTTTTTAGTAATTGATTATTTTAACTGTTCAGGGTATCAGACAGGGTGGTGTTCTCTGGATTGTAGTCGGAGACAAACAATCTGGGAAAGTCTGGAAAAATCCTATTAGAGATAGCCTGGAGAATAAAAATCTCATTGGAGGATTAATATGAAACTGTTCAGATCCGGCTCTGCTGACAAATTATGTTTGTCAGCAGCTCCAGGTGCAAGGAACACTGGTTATGCTGACCCTGAAACAAAATTACCCTAGTTCTCTTGTAAATATTAGCAAATGGCAGCAGATCAAGGATAGTTTTATCCATTCTATTGATTAATTAGCTTTCTCTCCCATGTCCTTCCCTGTTCTGCACTTCAGAGCAGAAAGCTTGTGGCTAATTCTGTTCCTGCCTGCCCTGAAACATGTTCTGGGATGATGATGCTATTTTGAGACAAAAGCAGAAGGCTAGTTCCCATCCTCAGGCTGAATTCCATGACCCCAGTGTTATCTATCCTATGTGGTCAGAAAAGTAGTTGCTTCTTGCTGGATATGTGCATGGTGTTAATAACTTAATAAAACCCCAGTTTTGATGATACAAAACTAGCACACTCATTTACTAGCTGACTTTAATTTCTGATTCACTCCAAGGCATGCTGGATTTGAAAAGCCTGGCTATCTGACCTAAGAGGGGAAAGTACTGAAAAATATTTTGCAGAATTTGTTAGGAAAATTAAGGTTTGGGGGTTTGTTTTTCACTTAAAAATAGTGCAGCAGTTTCCTGGAGACTCTCCTTTGTGCCCTATGCTCCTGTCTCTTCTGGGGACGGGACCTTGCGGGAAGAGGCTGTCCATGGGAAAGGAGCAGGCATGTCACTGCTGTCCCATGTGGTGGTGTGTTACACAAAGATGACAGCAAAAGGCATCTGAACCACAGTCCTGAGGGAGTACTCAGAACTGGAGTATTGTTAGGAATCACAGCATTTTAGTACAAGAAAACATTCTTTTGGTTCTGGGACTCAATGCTTTTCTGAAGGAAGATGTTGGTGCTCTGCTGGTCCTTTCAGACTTGCCTTAAAGTGTGTGTTTATGGAGTGTTTTATGCAGCCTCTGGAGAGGACTCTGTGTGGTTTTGTTCTTCTTGACTCAGTGCCTCTTTTTGTGAGCACTGTAGCAGTGAGATTCTTCTTTACACGTGCCCAGAAGGTGAAAGAGAGGAGGTTTGATTTCATTGCACAATCCACTTCTGCAGAGTGTGTTTTTTTCCTTGCTCACGTCACATAGCATTCAGAGGAAACACGAGTTCCTGGTTGAGGGCTATTAAGGAACTATCCCGTTTCTGTTATGTTGAGAGTTTCTGTGTTCTCCTGCCAGTTCTTACATGGCAAAGGTGCTGCTTCCATCTTCTTGGGGGTTGAGGCAGACTAGATGTGACATAGTCTTGGCCTTGAATTTTAGCACAGGCTGAATTGCAAAACTAAGGCAGGTAGTTAATAATAGTCTAAAGGAGGTCTCTGGAGATGGCAGTTTGTACTGGAAACCTGTGACTGTGTGGGAAGAGCAGGACTCTTGTCAGCTCTGGCAAGGTGTTCCTTCCTCGTTCTGCTGCCCAGTCTGAAATACTGGTCTCTTCTTTGTGGTCAATATGCAAAACTATGGCTATGAGGTTCATCAGTATTCCCATTTTACACAATAACTGCCTTGCTTTCTTTTGGGATAAGAAAATGGGGGCCTAGCATATATTGGCATATGCATTTCTCCCTGTCATAGAGAAATGGCAGGGTATCAGTGGTCAGAAAAGTGGCTGTCACTAATATACTCCAGCTACATAATCTCTGACCTGTGATTTCAAAACTTTATTGGATCTCAAAGCATGTTTCTGCTAGTTCGTGTGGGAAATCTGCTGCCTCACATCATTAATTGTCAATCTGTGAGGCTGCCCTCCCAGAAAAGCTGTGATGCCAATATGTGTAAGACCTGTAATTGAAGTGGGAAAACAAGGTGGAGAGCTATGAGTGTATCTTCCTTTGTGTTACTGGATTGAAGCTGCAATTTCAGCAGTAAATCTGTTTTCATTGGTGAATCTGGTACCAAACCTTCCCAACAAAGGTGGCTGCAGGTGCCACAGCTGTGACTAGTGCTGATGATTTGCTGTAAGTGTTGGTGATTGGCATGGGGAAGTAAAATCTATCTACCAGTAGCTGTTGTTTCTCTAGGCAGGTAAAGGTAGAAGTGGCAGACAAAACTTGTGTTGAAAGTGTGTTGCAGCGTGCCTTTGGTGGCTAATGGACTCAGCAAAGGCCCCTTAGCAAAAACAAGGGGCCTTTTCCCTTCAGGCATGGTTCATTGTTACTGGCTCCATTAAAACAGACTGCCTGCATTTCTGCTGCTTTTGGATGTAGTTTCTGGCTTTTAACTTTTTTGTTTGTTTGTTTGTTTGTTTGTTTGTGTAAGAATATTTTGTATGATAAAAAATAATGAATTGCCTCTGTGGAATTGAGTCCATCCAAAGCAAGCCCAGCTTGTGCACCATATCTTGATATGCAAGATAAAGGGAAGGGAGAGTATCTAAGGAATTTTAAGTTTCTGAGGGAGGTTAAGAGAATGGAGAATTTCTTCCTAGAGCCCTGCTCTGCAAATGCTCCTGTGTTGATAGGCCCATTGTGGGTCTGTTGAGTATATAGCTGTGAGAGTGATGGAAAGAGGCTAGGTGTGATAATAAATGCCTTCATAAACTAGAGGAAATTTTTTTTTTAATTACTCTAATTGGCATTTTTTAAATTCAGAATCTACTAATTATGAAAAAAAGTTATGGCTGTAGGATGTGTTATTCATATGGTATGATGCTATTCTCTGTGCACTTCTGAAGTTGTTCAGAGGACTTCATAATTAATTGCAATTAACCCTTTTAAAAGTGGCAGTACAGCAGTTGCCATTTTGGTGGCAGAGGAAATGTAACAGTAAGGGCAAGAAATTTGATTATACAGAATTAGTTGCAAATTCAAAAAAGAGACTTGGGAATCAAGCTTTGCTATTATTGCCTCTGATTGTTAGATAAGGCTGCTTTGGAGAGGAGCAGGGGGAAAGATGAAATGGAAGGAGGTTGAATGCTGTAAGACAGCAGTTAAATGCATCCCGGTGGCAATCTGGCTAGGCTCTCAGACTTTGCCCTCATGATTACTTTCTGGGAAAGGATGCAAAGCTTGGCTTGCTATAACTTTTTTTCTGTTCCTCCAGACCAGGGTGAACTTGATGGGGCCCAACCAGGTAGGTTGATTTTTTGTGGCACTAACATTTGGTTCTGTAGATAATGGTATTCCTTTAGCATGACCATGGCCTGTAGCTGGACTGTCTCAGGGGAGCCCAAACTTTGCTCAGCCTTAGGCTGCACTGGCAGTTTTTCAGGAGTCCAAAGGCTGCACAAAATTGTTGTCTGAGGGCTGCACCTCTGCCTCAGGCACAGCAGAATCATCTGAGCCAAATTTGGCGTGTGGGCTTTACTTTGGGCACTTCAGGGCTCATGGGTCTCAGTGTCAATCCTGTTCTGTCCTGTCATGGTGGTGGCCTGCTTGGACCAGTTCAGTTTGAACTCCAGTTTATCCTGTTACATCCTATGTGCTTTGGAAGTTCATTCTAGGATTGCTTCCTGTTCTTTCACATGATCTGCTGCTGCACTCACGTGCTAAGCAGCTGGCAGTTAAACTGGATTCTCCATCTGAAAGCAGCTGTTATCTATTTCTTCTCCATTTGGCTGCAGAGATGTTGTGTTCTGGTAACTTGTTTGCCCAAAGCTGTGCTTGACTGCCCTGGGCTTGCTGAGCATTTGTTAATACTCTCCGGACTTCAGTCCTAAGTCTCAATAATTTGGCTGCTGGTGCTTTCATGCTTCTCAATGTACATGAAAACTTCTATTGGTGTGAAATTCTTACTGCTAAGATCTTCACACAATTCATGGAAATGCTGATTCTCATTTCTTCATTATGTGGAGTCTTCTCCCCCTTTTTCTATGCCCTCAGACATCCTCCCATTCTGCATTCTTTAATCTGACCCTCTAGTATATTTTTGTATCAGTTAAAGCTATATTCACTTCATAAGGCTTTCTGATTCTGGCAGTGTTTGGATATTGGGAATATTGAGGTGGACAAAATCATGTATTAAAATACTTCTGCTTTGAGCTCCTTACCTTCTTTTCCTTCAGGGCTAAATCCACTCTGGAATTCAATAGGCAACTAAAATCTTCTATACTTAAACGTTTCCCAGCTGTGCTGTAATCCTAGCACAGTTAATTGAAATGAAATTACATTTGACAGGTTTTTTTACTAACAGTGTCTCTGATTAAACATGCTAAGCTTTGTAAAACTTGTGTAGTAATGTTCCAGTATTCTGTAGTGGTGCCCTTTCCTTGACCCTGAGCTCTGTTAACTTTGCTGTTTTAGCAGTAACACTAGCTTTTGGTGGCGAGTTTTAGCCATCTGGGTTCTCTCAAAGTATTAGGGTATTCCCATTTGAATCTTTCAACAAGATAGACACTTAACCGAGGTGACCTGATGAAGGTAGGAATGAGCAGCCTCTAGACTGCAGTTAGGCTGCCTCAAATCATGACATAAATGCTAAAGGATACATATATTTCAGGATATTTAGTGGATATATTTCTGTTTACCTAGAAATAGTAAATAACAGGATTCACGTGCCAAGGATGTATTTTCCATGTTGGCTGTGCAGATTCATTTAATGCCCTGTCTTGGGACATTGTTTTCAACTTGATATGAATTTCTGCTGTGATATGTTCGTATTGCTGCAGGTTTCAATCTGGAACATTTATCTCAGTATTTCAATTTCAGCCCTTTTAGAAGTTTGGCCTTGTACTCATGGCTTGGAAACACAGCAGTGATTTTCCTTGCCCCTTGTCTTAGAAATGCCCTAGAAATGCTGCTTTTTGAGCGAGGGGAAAAGCACAGTTCGGGCCTTTGTGCCATAACAATGTTCAGGAGCTTATGTCCATCCGTGCTACAAGTTCATATCTCTTTAGATGAGCAGCTGTCTTGACTGGAGAGGTTTAGATATTGGCTACTGTCTTGCTCTTCGTTGTTAAAAGCAAAATAGTCTGAATCACATCCTTCTGGGAGGTAGTTTAATTCCAGTGTACATTGAAAATACTTTTTATGTATGAACTTACAAAGTTGAGGTGCTCTGTGAGTACTGATGGCATATAATTAGTTATTGGTTTGTTGTTAACTATTGAGCATTCCTCACCTGGGAGAGGTAGGAGGCAGCCTAAGAAGCCAAGTGATTACTTCATGGTCTGTAGTTGTGTTCAGTGGAAACTTCAGCTATTTGCAATTGCAAACAAGGGGTGAAAACCTAGATACATAAGATTAATACTGCAAACAGGAAAGCAAATAGTACAAGGGATGGAGCATCTGGGAAAGACCAAACCTGATAAGAATCTGTTCTGCAGGAGGTAAAGGGGCCACCTGGAGGTAGTTTCCTCCAACAAGAATGCATGGAATGGGTTTTAGGTTCTTGTTTTTAAATTGGAGAAACTGATTGTTCAGCTTTGATGCTGAATTTTTGATATTGTCATGTCTGGAGCAAGGACACTGATCAGATATATGTCAGGCACAAACAAGATTGGCAGTTGATGGTTTTGAAAGTTTCTGTGTCAACAGGCTGAGCTCAGTGATGAAATTGGAGCAAAACCCAGAACTCAGAAAAGGGCATGCTGGTTCCTTTGTAGGTCTCATGCATAAATTCATTCTGATTTGGAAGGCAAAGCAGGCCACTCCTTTTTCAGGCATCCAGGGCACTGTAGATTATCTTTTGATGTACTTGGTCCTGGAAATTGTCCAGGGGATACATGCCATCTCCCCTTTGGCAGAATCATGGATTGTCTGTTTATTCTTTACCAGCAATCCCAGACGTTTTCACCGAGGCTATATAAGGAACAAGACTGTAGACTTTGCATAGGCCTTGCTGTAGGCTTTTATGTCATTTCAGAGAAAGCTATTTAAGGTATGTCATTCCTTAATTGTGACTTGTCAGGTCTGATAATCTGTGCCCAAAAGCCTGAGCTGAGTGTATGGCCACCCACAACATGGCACGAACGTGGTGCTGTAGTGCACACCACAAAGGCCTGCCGTGATTAAGCTTGCAGTCTGCATCTGGCCCTCAGACCATCCACTCTGGTGTGACATGCAGCCTCTCAGTTAACTGAAAATATCACCTGTTCTGAATTTAGCATAGAGCTCTGCAATGACCTCTTGTCTTTCTGACTATTCTCTTTCACGACTGTAAAACTTAACAGATTCTCAAATGCTGCATCTTCTTGCTGCTTTATACAGGCAGGACCCTTTGTCCTTCAGATAGAGACATGAGTTCTCAAGACCAATGGGAAGGGTCACAATATGCCATGTTCCTTCCCAGGACTTTGTAACCTGCAAAGTCTTTTAGACAACTCTATTATCTTAGACCTGGCCCTAAGCTCATAGCAGGCTACCAAGAAACTCTGGGCTAGGCAGAGAGTGGGCTACCATGGGATATACAATGTGATATTGGTCTTGTTGCCTGGCTGTGACTGTATCCAGTTGTTCCAGATAAACTTTGCATCACTCTCTCCTAGTCCTGCATTCCAGGTCATGCGTCCTCCCGAAGTGCCCCGTTATCTGCGCATGTGTATGTCAGTGTGATGGCCTCTGCCACCCCTTTCCTGGTCCGTACCTAGTGCTGCCACGGTGTCCTTAGCTTTGGTAGAATTTCTGGCTTGTGTGCATCAGTAAATCCTGTGTTGTCTGGTGAGTGACTTGAAAATGGGACTTGCAAGGTTAAAATAAAAATGAACAAGTAGCAAGAGAATCTGTTCTGGCTAGATGAGGGCAGAAGAGGGCTGGTGACATGTTAATGTCATGGCTGGCGTGTATGAGTTCTCTGGCTGCCATTTCAGCACCAGGTGGCCATCCTGGTACTAACAGGCAGTGTTCCCAGACATAGCAGGTTTGCTATTCCGAGACCTCAGTTACTGCATGGCAAGTGTAGCCAAGTGGTAGTTGAGGACCAGAGCCTGTGCAATGGTAAGAAAATGGCTGCATGAATATTGTAAATCCATGCTGGGAAAAGGATTTAATTCAAGAGGAGTGATGTATTGCGGGTCTGTCCTGCATAAGTAGTGATCCTTGCTGCTTTTCTGTGCTGTGGTCTGTGTGAAATGGTTTACCATATGGGAGTAAGGAGGGTATTGTTGAGTATAACCTCAACAGCCCCATTCACGGTTGCACTCTCTGCTTGACAAGAAAACACAGGTTTCAGAGCAGGGTGAGTAGCTAAAAAGGTGGGAAGACTTTCACCCTTCATACTAAAGGAACCATTTCATCTCCACTGCTGCTATAAAGAAATCATCTTTGTGAAAATGGATTGAGTGTTATGTCTGGGAGAGAATCAGACTTTCCCTCAAACTCTGTATGTCTGCAAGATTTGTGACCTGGTTCTTACTTATCCAAATCTCTCTATTTCCCAGCATGTCTGCTAAGCTTGGCCATGTGTGTCTGCTCGGGCTTTGTTCATGGGGCTGAGATCTCTGCTGGCAGAAGTCCACTGATGGTTGAAGACTTGCTTTGGGGAAAACTTGGCTTGTTGTCTCTGAAGCCTCAAGTGGTGGCTGGGAGTGTCCTCTGTGACATGATGGTGCTTTATGAGTTATTTGGCTCCAATGTGATGGGGACTGTTTTCTGCAATGGCTTCTGTAAAGCATGGCTTTTACAAAGAATGCTTTGTTGTGCTGCACTTTGCAGCTCCTTCCGTCTCAGACTGGAAAAATCTCTCTGTGGATGGAAAATCTAGGAAGCAGTGAAGAGCTTACCCTTCAATCCCCCTGGAGAATCCAGCAGCCCTGCTTGGCCTGTCTGTAGAAGAGACTTACGATGATGCTTGTTTCTCATCTTTGGGATGCAACTGGAACTGCTCTTTTTCTAGGAATTTCTTGGTTTCCAGGGTATGAAATGGCCTGTGTTCCATGTGCAGGACTAAGCTTCAGGTGAAGCAAGAAATGGATGCACCACACTATTAGAAGTTAGTCTGGGTCTGTGTGCAGGGTGGAAGGAGTTACTGTGCCAGTGAGGGACAGTTTTTCCTGTGCCTCCCTGGACACATGTGCATCAGGAGCAGTGACAGGGACAGCTTTGCAGGATTAATGCTCTGAGCACTCTGCTATGTACTTGCCTCCATCCCTATGTGCCCCAAGGTATCCTGGCTTCCAGTCTTTCCTCTCCTTTCAGGGCTGGAGCAGGGAATCTGTTCTTCATTCGCATTGTTGACTTGCCAGGCCCTTGGTGTTCAGGTTTCTGCTTCCACACTAGGCCCATGATAACTGCTGAAAATCAGATTTAGTTTTGCTGGCAGCTGTGCCTTGTTATGATGATTTCTCATTCTTTCTTTACCCCTTGCTGCCAAGACCACAATGAAGTCCTTAGCTCCCTGTAATCTCTGGCATTTTATCTGCAGGTGATGACAAATATGGAAGAAAAGTCATTTTGTTCAGTGCCTGCCGGATGCCCCCAAGTCATCAACTAGATCATGTGAAACTGCTGGGGTAAGTAGAGCCTTAGTAGGCTGCTCTTTATTTCTTAAATCTGATCTAACTCTCAGCTGCTGGATTCCTGGGGAAAGATCCATCTGCAGTAGATCTTCAGATCCATTCTTTAGCTGGTCATATCCTCCCAAGTGTTTACTTCCATTGCTGGGGATGCAAATCCTCTGTTATGGGACACAAAAAGAACCTTTCTTTAGCAGAGCACAAAGTGAGTTCATCAGTTCTTTCTTCTCAGGTACCTGAAATTCACACTGGACCAGTATGTGGAGAGTGATTACACTCTGGTGTACCTGCACCATGGCCTGACCAGCGAGAACAAGCCATCCCTGAGCTGGTTGCGGGACGCCTACAGGGAATTTGATCGCAAGTGAGTAAAGCTGCAGCAAGCAGGGCTGTTACGTGCTGTTCTGTAGCCTAACTTAGAGATCTTCACTAGGCCCCCTGTGTAGCTTGGTGATCATAATTTACTGTCACTTATTCTCCTACTTAAGGAGATGGATTGTTGTTTAATGCAGACTGAATCATAGGATAAACAGCTCCTTCTGTAGTTACATCCTTTAAGCCAACAGGCAAGCAGCAAACCCAGGACCTGGTTCAAGTGTGTCAGCCCCATGGTACAATTGTAGGTTCCTGGGGATGCAGCTCACTGCAAAAGGGATGAAGCAACCAGGATGCCTTAATCTTGTGGAAAGGTTGGTTCCTCTGCTTAAAGTGCGCCTTGTCATTACTGGGCTTCTCTTGGCAGGTACAAGAAGAACATCAAAGCCTTGTATATTGTGCACCCAACCATGTTCATCAAGACCCTGCTGATACTCTTCAAGCCTCTGATCAGGTAGGAAGGAAGCACTGTTGGACACTCACCTGCATGCTCACACTGCAGGGGAGCAGTGGGGCATTCTCAGAGGGGCACAAGCTGAGCCTAGGCTGCCAAGCCTGGAGTGTCTCACCTTTTTCTATCTCCTCCACTTCTGAGCTCAGAAATACCTCTCTAAGAACCTACAGAGTTTGCAGCTCTGTGCTACTCCTTTTCTCTCCAGCCAAGTAGAAGTAAAAAGTTGTAGGCTCTGCAGCTCAAATATTTAATTTATTGTGGTACTGAATCTATGAAATAATTGGGAGCAAAATCTTCTAAAGCCTACTGCTGAACATAGGAAGGAGAAATCCAGCATTTGAGGGAGCCTGCTGCTGCTGGGGCTTTAATGTATCTTGGAAAGTCTTTGCATCTCCTGGTAAAATAGATGGAGTGGGAGAGCAATGTGGGTGACATCTCTGCTGTTCAGCCATACCTACCCTTTGCCCCACTGACGTTTCTTGCAGCCCCCTGCTCTCCTTTTCTGTAAGAAGTCACTTCTGTTACTGGATTTCCCAATGACTCATGTATCTACCTTTCTCTTGTTTTTCAGCTTTAAATTTGGACGAAAGATTTTTTATGTGAATTACCTTAGTGAGCTGGAGGAGTATGTGAAGCTGGAACAGTTGGGGATCCCAAGCCAAGTACTGAAGTGAGAATAATGCTTGTCTCCTTGCTTAGGGCTCTGTGAGAGGGGACTTTTTGTAAAGATTGGCAAGGGAAGGAGGAGATTGTTCTACTCAGGCAGTGTTTTTGCAGGGTGTGGTGACAAGTTGCCTTTAAGACTGGTTTCTCTCTATAGTCCTTCCTGTATGTCCTTGGTCCCTATTCTGTCTGAGTTAAAAATCCTCCCCCAGTGGAGCACCAATCCTGCATCCCCACTCACCCCCTGGGGACTTTCTGCAGGATACTGACCTTAACACTGACCTGGAGGTGATGGTGTGCATCTGTTCTCTGGGCACCTGCTTAGCTCATTCTGCACTGCTCAGCTTGTCTTTGGGGCTTCCCAAAGTTGCCATAATCTCAGTCCTACCAGATTGCTTCCCTGTCCCACACCCACATATGCATGTGTCTCATTACAAGCAGTGCTGTCCTGGCCTCCTGCCCATGCTGTTACTCATGAGCTACTCCAACTCTTGATTACAGATAGATACTCCTTTTCGTCCTGCTTTTTTCCTGGCAACCAGCTGTTTGTTCTTGTGCTCCAGAGCTGCCTGTGGTGGTTTTGCATAAGTGTAATCGACCATACTAGTCTGGTGCTGTTACCAGTGGGTGTGCAGTGCTGGGTTCATGCACTTTCTGGGAGGTGGAGTGGCTTTTTACTGGTCTGTGTTTTGCTGCAGGTATGATGAATACCTGAGATCCCTGCAGAAACCTTTGCAAGTGCCCCAGAAGCCAACACCCCCACGCCCACCACTGCCAAACCAGCAGTTTGGAGTCTCCCTACAGCAGTGAGTATTTCTAGACTGTGTTGCTTTTGCCGTAACTTGCTTGATATGAGGTCACTGTATTTATTACTGAACAACAGCAGAAAATGGCTGCAAAATTTCTTGCAGTTCAGACTTCCTACGAAACTTGAATCATTTTCCTGAGGAACTCTGTGCTCATGTCCAGATCCTGACTAACTCGGTTCAGTTCCACCCTCTTGATCCCTGGGTTAGATTGTTTTTGCAACTTAGGGTCACTAAGGGAGGAGCAAAATAAGGGCCATGGGAACAGCTATATGGCACTAGAAAATTCCTTTTAAGCAAAAGAAGTCTGTAGGAGGATGACAGAGGTCTCTTTAGGACTCTTTTTGAGTGCTACTTTGAGCAGTGCTGCAGATTTGTTTCTTAGTTGTTTTCCAAATCATAAATTCTGTTTTAAAAGCACCTCTATTCGCCCTTGTAGTGAATCCCACTCCCCATTCCTGTACAAAGGCAAACACAGACACTGGCAAGGGCTGGTGATACTAAGTGTTTAAGGTATTTTTAGCTCTGAGTGTGGTTTTGCCTCTCCAGGGAATGAGGAGGAGCCAGTACTGTGTAGCTAGACACATCCTCTGAGGCAGTCTGGGAACACATTCCCCAGCTTCAGTGCAACTTTTCCAGATGGTGTTTGCCTTGATGCTGTGGTGCCTGAGCTTGTTAGCAGCCTGGGAGGGGTGAACAGCTCCAAGATATCAGTGGTCTGGACAATCGAATGTGAGGGTGGCAGCGAGCACCTTGGCATCACGAGGTTTTCCCTGACAGCCATTTTGTTGATAAATCTTCTGTCACAGGAATGTGGAGGCCAAATTTTTTTTTCTTATGTGTCAAGCTTTTTTCTGCTCTTGGTCCTATGGGAAAGGAAAAAGGAAGCCTAACCCTTTTCACCTGATTCATACCTAGCATCCTTGCCCTCTGGGAAACCCTTTGCCTTGGCATACACAGGCTGAGATTTTTACAGAAGATGGAAAAACATTCCGGTGATCTAGTAATGAGCTCATAGTTGCTCCAGTCCGTGATGTAACATGATAGGTGAAGAGTACAGAAGGCTGGAATAATGGCTGAACCAGGGATGGTGATAGCAAGGTCATACGTAGTACAGCTTGTATGGGCAAATTCAAGAGTTGGAAGCTTCATGTAGGGCAGGACCAGTCCTGTGTAGCAGTCGTGTAACCTCTTGTTTCTTGCTGCAGTCTCAGGGAGAAGAGCCCTGATCAGTCTCCTGTTCCTCTGGTGGTCAGAGACACCATTGCTCACTTGCAGGAGCATGGTAAGTGTTTGGGGAAGCTGCAATCAGTGACCTCCATTCTGTCCAAGCTCCCATCAAGACTGTGGTAAGATAAAGAAGAGTAGCAGTCTAGAATAGGGTGTAAAGCCTGAACTAGGTGAGTTAGCCTTCAGGTGAGATTGTAGAAGGCTTAGGAGACCTTTTTCAGGAGTCCATGTTCCCACTTGTATAAAAGTAGCCAAATGCTCCTTGTATCCTTTGTGGGATAGTGGAAGCAGAAAGAATTGTGGTACTCTAAAAAAGAGGCTTGTTGATATCTGTCTGAATGCCCCACAGCATGGATTTATCGCTTTTAAGGTCATCATTTTTAAAGACTCTTCACATGGCTGATTTTTTTTCTTCTCCATCTGCTATCACTTTACAGCTCTTAATACAGAGGGGATTTTCCGGAGATCAGCAAATACACAGGTTGTCAGAGAGGTCCAGCAAAAATACAATATGGGTAAGTGCCCAAACACATCAGAGCCCCTCTCATTCCCTAATTACTACTGTCCAACTGCAACTGTGTTGGAACTAGTCCATCATGGATCCTCTCCTTCTCTGATAGGTTTGTAGGTGAGGCCTCATCTTGGGGTATGACCTGAATTGCAAGGGAGAAGTATCTGGTACTTCTGCTGTGTGGAAAGCATATTCCTTCCCACTCATATTCTCCTTTTCTCCTTATTCTACCCTTTTTTTTTTCTGAAAGTTTCTCTGTTTCTTGGGGTGAGGTATGCCATCTTACTCTGGTTATACTGAAGGGACTGAAGATGACCAGGATGAAACTTAGTCATGTTTCATTTGATGCCTTCTACAGATGTAGTGCTGGATGCAGCACTGCTTTGTGTGTGATTTTGGGACATATTTTTCCACTCAGTTAGAAGATGTGGTACTTCAGGGTTGTGTATTCTTCAAAATACCCCTTCTTTAGTTTTGGGCTCTGACCATCATGTCCTGTCCTTTGTCTGGAGGAGGTGCTGCTTTGGCCAGTAAGCACTGAGTCTCTGCTCTACTTTCTCAGGTGTGCCTGTAGATTTCCAGGAGTATGAAGATGTCCACCTCCCTGCTGTGATTCTCAAGACCTTCTTGAGGGAGCTACCTGAGCCCCTCCTCACTTTTGGCCTCTACAGCCATGTTGTCAGCTTCCAGAGTGAGTTGTAACAAGTGTGCTACTCCCTGAATGTTGCACTGGACGAAGGCAAAGATGTTTTAGTGGGGACATGCATGGGATACTTTGTGACTGCCAATAGGGCCTTTATCTGGTTGAGTGCTGAGGATTGTCCCATCTCTCTTGATTTTTAGGTGTGGAAGAGGAGAAACGTGTGGATGTTGTTCGCAAAACACTCCAGGGTTTGCCAGAAGAAAACTACCAAGTGCTCCGTTTACTGACAGCCTTTCTGGTGCAGGTGAGCACTAGCCTAAACATTTGCTTGTCATAATGCTGAGAGGTGCAGGCAGGCCTCAGCCTAAAAGGTGCAGGCATACAGCCTCTGTGGTCTATACCAGGGAGGTTGAAAGCTCCCCAGGGTGGAGGTAGAACTGCAAAGTCGCTGAGTAGAAGAGGGGTCTCAGATCTGCTTTACAGTACTTCCTGCTGCCGAGAAAGCCACTGCAAGGCCATTCAAGCAAGAGGGATGATCGTGAGTGGTGTTCTGGACTTGTAGAGATAATCATAGAGATACTGTCTGACAATGCTCTTGGTCCTGTTGTTATGGACAGCTTTTTCTCCTCTCGTTTTCTCTTTGAGTCTGTCATTTCTGGCTTTGGGGAGGGTAGAGGGCAGGTGCTGTGCTATTCTGTAGGATTCACAATGGACTCTTTCCTTCCCATATAGGTCTCTGCTCACAGTGACAGAAACAAGATGACCAACACCAACCTGGCAGTTGTGTTTGGCCCAAATCTGCTCTGGGCCAAGGATGTGGCCATCACTCTAAAAGCCATCAATCCCATCAATACCTTTACCAAATTCCTGCTGGACCACCAGAAGGAGCTGTTTGAGGCTGCAGAGGCCTGAATCCAGGCCAGGCCACACCTGCACACTGTGCCCACCTTCCCCCTTCTTTGTCTTGGAGCTGTGACCAAGCTGTCTCCAGTACAAAGGGACCATTGATCTTCTGGGTGATGAGCAAAGTGAGGGCTGTGGAGATGATGGTGAAAGTGTGCAAGTAAGTGAGGAGGAGACCTGCAGCTCTGGATGGGCAGGGGAGCTGGTCTCCCACCTGCTGAGATTGGAGTCTAAGCCACCAGCGCAGCTCCTCCAGGGCTCATCACCAGTCTTTTGCCCTATCAGATGACCTGCCTTCCTTTCCTTCTTCCCTTATGTGCAGTTTTTCTGCCCTCCTGGTCCGTTCCTCAGCACAGATCTTTTTGTTCAAGCTCCCAATAGTCCCAGCTCACCCCTCCTTGCCTCAGCTGGGCTGTCTGGGCTAGGGCGGGCTTGCTGGGTTTTGTGATGGAGACATTCTTACTGTGAGTGCCATTTCTCAGCACTGAACATGCCTTTCCCCAGGGGCAGCTAAAGCAGGGAAGGGAGCAGCAGCCCTTGTGCTTCAGGTAGCAGCATGTCCTGCACTTGCAAACACCACTCTAGACCCCTGCTTTTAGTAGGCAGGTGAAGGACAGGCTCACAGCAATGGGCCGTGTTACCTGTCAGACTCCAAAACAATGAAGGTGAGTTCAGCCCAAAGCCCAGCCCCTCTAGGGTTACCCACTCCAGGTACTATTCAGTGTTTGCTGGACTGTAGTGGATGACTTGCCTCCCGTAGGTATGCAGCTCAGGTGTGTTTGTCCCTCCAGCAGCACTTCCAGCCTGGCTGCTGGTGAGCCTGAATGGCAGGAGCAAGTGCCCTGGTGGCACTGAGCTGCTGAACACCATGAGGATCACCATCTGCCCTGGCAGCAGCACAAGGCCTCTTCAGGCATATCTGTCTGTGCTGACTGACACAGACCACCTTGACTAGTTAGTTGTCTTTTTGAGCACAACTTTCCCCAGCACAGTGTAACAGAGAGCATGGCCTTGAGGGAAGGTCTGGGGACTGGGGCTAACCCTCACCATGGAGTGCACCATTACAAATTTCTGCCCAGGTGCTGAGCACTCGTGCCAAAGCTCTGAGGGAACAGCTATTCCATGCCAAGGGTCTTTGCCGTGTCTCCTCCTGGGTTCATACCTTCCACCCTTCCATCTGGCCAGGTGCATCCTGTATGCCCTGGGCACAGGTGGAGAGGTCGTGTTCTCTGCAAGGCTCAGAATGGAGTGGCACCTCCCTGGAGCAGCTGTTACAGCATCTCTGTTGGCTTTGGGTTGCCTCATTCCCATTACCTGAGCTAAAAGAGAGCCTTCTCTTCAGCCTGGGCCCGTCAGGGTTTTAGGAGGGAGCTTCTAGCCTTACTTCACTGGTGTGATTTATCTTTGTATCTTGTGCCCTGTGTGCCTGGGCCAGACCTCCCTGCTGCACCTGGCTTCAGGGACAAATCTTTAGGACCAAGCAGAACTGCTTTTTTTAAAATTTACTGGATGCTAAATAGAACTTGCTTTTTCCTAATATTTTAGCCTGCCTTTAAACACTGACCAAGGGTCAGTGTCCGTGGTGTAATCAAAGTAAGTGGCATCTCCTACAGGAATTAAGGAGATTGCTCTTTTTGTTAAACTCTGGAATGGAGATGGGTGCAAACGTAGGCAGCTCTGCAAGGCAGCACAGGTCCAGCCAGCTGGCTTGGAGCAGACACACCTACACGTGGGTGGGAGCAGTGAAAAAGAAAGTGAGCATTACTAAGACTGGAGCAAGAGTTGTTCTAAGATAGGACTGGACCTGATCCTTTGTAGACACTGGGAGACTTTACCCTATAGAGGCTACCAGGCTGCTGACTTCAAGTCTCCCTTTTCCAAGAATAGGATCCTTCCCTGTTTGACCAGGATATGAATTGTTTCATCCTGAGCAATTCACAGCAGTAACTAAGTAAATGTTTTGGAGGGAGGGATAATCTGCTCCTAATTCATCTGTGATCTCTTCTAGAGTGAGTTAGCAGGGTTGATGTGCTGTAGAGGAATTAATCTGGTGTGGACTAGTGTGGAGAGAGGTGTATTTGTCCCAGTGTTTAAGGGGCAAGACTTTGGAGGCTTAGGGAGCCCAGTGCAGCCCCTCTTTCCATGCAGGTGTCCTGCTCTGTAGAGGCTTTGGTTGGGGGGAGAAGGAGACTTGGTGCTCTGACTGTATCTGCAGCTGACACTGGCTTCACCTTCATCTCCCTAGAGGAAAGGCAAGCCCAGCTAACTTCTGAGACAAATGCCCAAGCTCGACAACCTGGAATCCAAGTGCCTGAGTGCATGAAGCCTGTCCCTATGCACTCTCTGGGGAAAGTGGCATGTTCTGGGCTTGCAGAGCAGCAAGGACTGTTCCCTGCCCAGTAGCCAGAGGAGCAGTCCTGGAGTAGCTCCTGTCCAGGGGAAAGTGGGGAATACTGCAAGTGTCCAGGTTCTGGCTGGAGTTTGGTGGTTTATTTTAGGGTGTTCTTTTGGGGGGGATTTAGTTTTTGGGTTTTTTTTAGTGAATTCTTGAAATGACGTTTCCTTTTTTAGCAAAATAGAGGCTGGTTCACCCCCTGCAGGCAGGGATAAAAGCCTGCTCCAGTTCAGTGCCTGCAGGGAGCAGATTTGGAGAGTGTTCAGGGAACTACTACTGTTCATGGTGGGAAAGTGCTTGCAAATCCTGGAAGGAACCCACTGTAAATATCCCCTTTCCTCTGCTGCTCCGTGTGCTGGAGCTGCTGAGTGCCCTGGAGCAGGCACAATAACCAGAGTTGTTTTTGCAGTCTGTTCTCCTGAATGCCTTGTATTGAAATATTCCTCTTGTGATCTGAGCAAGGAACTGGCCCAGGCCTGCCTGCAGCCTGTGTCAGGTGGGTGGTCACCAGAGCCTGCACCTGCTAAGGCCAGGGGGTCAAATTCCCTCCTCACATGGGCAGGGTCCTGCCTAGGCTGGGTTTCTCTGCCTTGTATAGGTCGGGGTGTACAATTAAGGCGCTTGTCTGTGTCAGTTTTCTCCTTGCTATAGAGCTGCCCGAGGATCTCTTCCCTGGCTTACCTTTCAGGTTAGCTGTTGGCCATTTCTTCCTGTAGGGGTACTTGTTCTGCATCAACCTCCTGCTTTTAGCACCTAGAACATTCCCTTCTGCTAAGCCTCCTGCTGTCTTAATGGCCTCTGATCACTCCATGGCCCAAGCTGTGAATTGACACCAGAGCTTTTGGGTGGTGCAGGGGTTCTGGGGCCTTCCAGATGCCTTGTGTGCTAACATGAGAGAGCTGAGGGCCAGTTTGGTCCCAGTTTCCTTTTATATGCACAGGGGTTCCTGTGCAAAGATCCTGGCTTTGCTTTTGTTGCTGATGTTTGCCACCTTCTTTGTTGATGTTCATCAGGTGCAGGCCTGGGTTTTCACAGTTCACACTGTTTATTTTCTTTTAATCTGCACCAATCTTGTATTTCACAGTTTGCACTTTTTGTATTTCAATAAAAATCAAAATGTAATCTCAGATCCAGATATGTCTGTCAAGTGGCAGCAGCAGTGGCACATCTACAAGAAACAAGTAAGGCTGTCTATGCTGCCAGCCACAACCACACTGCAAGGGAGAAAAGAAAGTATGAAATGCATCTTATGTGAGTATCTCTGAAGAAATACTAGTTTGCAGGAGCCTTGGGCTGGAAACAGAGTTAAAACAAAAATGTGGTATAGATTTGGCTCTTTCCTGAAGAGGGTTGTTCTTCCACATTACCATCTTCCTGTCATGGTGAGCAGTCTGCATAGGATTGCCAAGGATGCCAAGTGGGAGCTACCTTAGGATTATCTGGCTAAATTTCTCTTGTAGCCAGGTGATACATGCAGCAGAAGCCTGCACCTTCACATTTCAATGTATGTGGATTGGTAATTTGATGAACAGTAGTCTCGTTAGGACCACCATGCTCCCCTTGATCCATATTCAGTTCACCTCCTTTTCCTAAAGACTGCAATTTACCTGTTACATCAGTAAGCTTTCTGGCTAGGATGGAAGAATTAGGAGTAAAATGGAGATCACTGGAGCTAAGACAATCAGCATTGGGCAGTAGCTGGGATGACTGCTGGGATGTCAGTGATGATGTGTCAGGGTGATGTGTTAATGCTGTTGTCGACACTTGCATGTCTAAACTGTGCTGCTTGCCAGTTTTTACTGTTCATAAATTGTCCAGTTAAGGGCTTCCCAGTGTTGCCAGTTCCCCTCCTGCATGTTGACATGGCCCCTGTAATGGGGTCAACGTGGTTAACAAGCCAACTTATACAGTGAGATCTCAAACCTCCTCTCAGTGTAGCAGCTGGTCCTGTCTCTGAGCTTTGTGACCTGCCTGGCATTGTGCTGTAGCAACATCAGCTCAGAGGAGCTGAACAGCAGGTGCATCTGTCCCTGACAGGGAGCTGGTGTTGGCAGGACCTACCTTAATGTGCAACTATGGGCAGTACTGAATGCAGTGTGAACACCATTGCAACTGGACACGATCTCATGAATAGCTGCCCCCTGGCTTTATGGACACTGTTCTGAGAACATTTTTATTCATGCAGTAGGCTCACAAGGAGATGGTATTTAATTGTTCATGACCTTGGTGATTAATCATACTTCTCTATTTTCTCACTTATTTCCTGATGTTTTTTCCAATCCCTTGTCTTACTGGTGACATGGTGTAAATGGTGAATACTGAAAGCCCTGTAGTAAGCCCAGATCCTACAGGATGATTTCTGTGAGTCTTGACACTGTACTTTTTTTAAGTTCATGAAATGACACTCATAAATACACATGTATACGTGCAGATAATGTAGACAGATTGGTATTTGTAAGATTGCAGTAGGATGTTCAGTTTACCGTGTTACCTTCTCAAGATAAGAAAATACTGCTTTTATTAGTTACCCTTGTATCCCAAGCTGGAATATTCCCTTCATAGAAGCTTCTAATACACAAGAGTCATTTTTCTTTTTTTACCCCCCTATTTCTGCCATTTTATCCACCATGTCTTTTTTTATAATAAGCAGACAGCCTTTACACTGCAGCTTAAATCAGCAGCTGTTATTACTACACAGAATTTTATAATCTTGTCTTTCCTTTAAGGGGAAGGTGTTGGCACCATGCCACACCATTGTGTGTTATACAGGGTTAACTTTTATCAATACTAGAATACAGCTGTTAAGTTTGGTTATTCTTTCCATATTTTATTAGTCTCTGCCATCTCTCCTGGCAACTGAAAACATACCTATGCTGCTTTAAGCATGTAGTAGCAACTATGTACAATGCAAATTCTTCAGGTATATTTTTTCCCCTTTTCCCACCCCTTTCCTCTGGAGACGAGTTAATATTTCAGTTTCCCAATTCACTGGTGAGGTCAGCAGGGTCAAACACTGTATGACTGTTCCTCCCACCTTCAGGCACCTGTTCTGTGTGTCCCTCGCTGTCCTTCCAGTAGGATGATCTCAGTAGGATCCCACTGACTGCTCCAACTATAATGCACGAGTCTATTTTGCCCTCTCTGATGGAAACAGCAACTTGCTCTGTTCTGCATTCACTGACAGGCCCCTGACCCTCTGTTTCCTGGAGGAAAACGAGCATGAGCCTGGGACTCTCCCAGACCTCTTGGTACACACAGAAGAATGCAGAAGAGTTTTGCTTACACAAAAGTTTTATTGGAAATTCTTTGAATACTTGAAGTACACCGGAGACTTTCCAAAACAATACACTTGAGGAGCCTTCCTCTCCACCCAAAGTATCTGTAAATCAGCAGCTACATACATACTGTCCTTAATATTGAGTTGAGCAGAGAGCTGCTAAAATAAACAGCCTTCATAACACAATCTGTGGCAGGCCACAGCAGCAGCTAGATCTTTACTGAAGCAGAGCATTTGTGCAGTGTCAGGGAACTCAGAGCCTAGATGTAGCATCTGTGTGTTGAAACTGAGGAATGTCCAGAGAAGAGGCAGGTAACTCAGCCCTGGAGAATCTCTTATTGCTGTGGCCATCCAGCTCAACACTAGCAGCTTATATAGGCAATTTTCCAGCCTTCTGAAGAGAAGAAAACGTGCCACAGTGACATTCTGCCTTATGAGATGTGAGAGCTGTAGCCACGTTAGGAACTCCATCAATAAAGAGCACAAGTACAAGCCCTGACCTCCTGGGTGGGATTAACAAGAATGGCACTGCTCCCTGCCAGCTCTACAGCTTGTCAGCAGATGAGCATAGCAGGAGTGCTGGCTAGGTGAACTTTAACCTCAACTATTCTCTATTCAGACAGTGTGAACCAGCACTTTGCCTCATCTCTGCTGCTCTGCAGCCCAGATAGTATCACTTTAGAGACTAAAGGTGACAAGCACCTGTCTATGAGCTACTTCCTACAAAATGGCAGACCAACTTCCTGAGCACAGGTGAGAGGCAGTTGATCCATTAATTCCTTGTGTTCCTGCACCCTTCTGTGACCCTTGTGAAACAAGGTGGCTCTTGGATGGGGATCAAGTATTTGTTACAGCCCTTGTAACTAAAGCTGTGTTAAAAACTGTTTCATCTTGGAAGCTTTCTTAAATGTTTGTGCATCTTTGCACACACAAACCGATTTCCATGCTAAAAACTTGAATTGGCTGAGTAAAATAAAAAGGTTCTGGTGGGTAACTTTTTCCAATGAAGCTCTTACCTGGAGTTTTAGAACTTACAAGGCCTCCCACCAAACACTTCAACAAAAAAATCTCGTAAAGTTCAAAGCATTGCATTGCTCTGGCCTGAGAGTAAGCTCTGTTCTGAATTTGGCTCCTTGCTCCAGCAGTGGCACAGAAATACTACACTGTTCTAGAGTGGAGCTGGGGTTCCCCCATCAGCTGCAGGCAATCTCTTCCAACTGTGAATGCAGCTAAGCTGAAGAGGCTGCCACACTGCACCACCTAGAAGGCTGGTTACTCAGCCACTCTGAGGAAATGAAGATGCTTTCTCACTACTCAAGCAACACAACTCCACTTAAAAGAAAGAAGGGGGAAAAAAAAGTGGCTTTGGACAGTAAGGGGTCTTGCAGTTGCTTACTCTAGTTACATGGGGGAGGAGGAGAGAGAACCACAAGAAAACCCACCTTATTGAAGTTTCTGCTTAGTGTCACTGTTTCTCCTCCCATCCTTACATGAGGCAGAAGACATGCAACAGCCAAATTACCCATAGAGCAATGCCAGCCAGTCACACTGTCGATGGCCAGATTATTACAAAAATAAAATTTCAGCTACTCAAAAGCCAGCTGATTAGAAAGTACCATAAGCTTCCCAAAAAAGTGTGCTTCTTTAAAGAAGCTGCCTTCTGAATGGCCAAAGAACACTACAAATTCATCCATGCCTATCAGAAAACAGCTTTTAACCAAGTCCCTGCCACTCCATTCCACTGATGTGTGCATTTCATTTTATCAGTGAGCCCTGACTGGATGTAATGGACACACAGTCCCCAAAACAGAGTATAATATTAATCAAGTCTGTCATAGAAAATAAATATCTTGGATATTTTCCTGCAAAGAGAGCCCAGTCTCACTGGTCAGGGTTCCATGGCACACTTGCTCTCTGCAGTGATCAGGACAGAATGACCCGCACTATAACATGAAAACAGAACATCTTTTAAATATAAGGTTTCTTTAAAAGCAATAAATATTTTTTAATTCTTAAGATCATCTATTAACCATAAAGCAGGAAGGCTTGCAAGGATTAGAGGAAAAAATCTTGAACTAAGACTCCTAGTTACATAACCCTAAAGAAATAGGATTCCTAGTATTTACAGTTATGTTTCAGAAGCAGAGACTATGAATTCAGCATCACAGCTGCTATGTGCAGGCTTGCCAACAGTCAGCACTGTTAAACTCAGCATGGCCGAGTGTCAGTGCACTCGGGAAGGAAAGTGGAAAGCATTCCTGTAGTTTCACTCCTGCTTATCAGCCACCTAACAGAGGGCCTTGCACAAAATCACTGTGTAGAGACCCAGTTCCTGAGAAGCAGGAAAACAAAGGTTACTTGTATTATTCAGGTCCCAAAGACGTCTCTCCCTGGGCTCCAAGCACACACTCTGAAGTCAGGATGAAATGCCCAGTTCTGTGGAATGGATGTCCTGGACTTCAAACGGTTGAATTTGCTGAACTCAGAGACTCTGGAAATAAGCCAAAGCTTTCTATGCTCTTACAGGATCAGAGACTGTAGGAAAATGTCTGTTAGCAAGAAGCTCTACCTAGGGAACTTACACCATAGGAAGGAAGCATCTGGCAACTTGGCACAAAGCCCCTCCATACAGAACACAGACTGAGGAGACAGTAAGTTTCCATACACTGGAGTTTGAGCCTCCTGTATCCCTACTGAAGTCTTAAAACTGACTGTGAACAGGAAAAGCAGTCCAGAACTATGTGGAAAAGTTGAGGAGAATCAGCAGATGAGCCATATCTGTCACTGAAGAGAGAAAAGAAAGCTCAGTTGATGGAAAGAACTAGTCAATGTGTACAAAGGCAGAGCAGGGGCATAGAGATATTTGTTGATGTCATCTCCAGGATGCCTTGAGGAGAAAGAACTGCTGCAGCAGAACTGGGAAACAGCTTCACTGCAAGGTTTCCACAAAAGCATCAAATTCTTTGACGTTTTTCTCATGGACTGCCAGCTTCTCTGGTAACGAGTCCTGGAAGGGTAAGGAAAGTTGCAGATCAGGGCTCATTCACAGCAGACAGAAGGAAGTTTTAAACACACTAGGGGAAAAATAAAATCTGTTTCTAAACATGCAATCCCTTGCCAATGCTCTGGGCTCATCTTTCTACGTGCACAAAACCAGGAGCCCTCTGGGAGCATCCAGCAAGTGACCCTGAGCAGGGCACTCTGCCCAGAGTCTGTTTGTTCTGCAGGAACAGGAGGTGCTCTGGGGCCTCACCTTGTGCAATCCCCACCAGCTGCAGCACAATAACCCACTCACATTGCTGCCTTTAGAGTTGCTGCTCTCTGGTTTTCATTTTTCTCCACAGTATGGTACAATGCCAGACAGCCTAATAGAGCATTCACCCAGACATGACTTTCACCAGCCACACCAAAACTCCAACTCTGCTCAGGCTGCAAAGTCAGGCCTGGTTTGCCACCAAGTGAGACACCCTAGAGGCAGGATTAGTTTTGGGGGGTTTCAATGATAACTAGAGCAAACGTGCTGCAGGCAGCCTTCATCTTCAAGACAAACACACCAGCTTCAGAGGCTCAGGTGTGCCACAAACAAATCTGCATTTATTTGGAATATATTAGTGCTGGACTCCCTTTGGGCAGGGTCTCTCTTCTGAAAAGTACACGAAAGACATGTTACAGTGTTACATGTGTTACTGTTACAGTGGAGGCCAGAGTCCAGAGGAGGGCCACAAAAATGATCAGAGGGCTGGAGCACCTGTTAAGAAAGGCTGAGAGACTTGGGGTCATTCAGCCTGGAGATGAGAAGGCTCTGAGGAGACCTTATTGTAGCTTTTCAGTACTAAAAGGAGACCTTTAAGAAAAATGAAAACAGGGGCTGTTGTGACAGGACAAGGGACAGTGATTTAAAATAGAAAGAGAATAGATTCACACTAGATAAAAGAAATTTTTTATGAAGCTGGTGAAAAATTATAGCAGGCTGCCCAGAGAGGTGGTGGATGCCCCATCCATGGAAATAATCAAGGTCACATTAGATAGGGCTGAGCAACCTGATTTAGTTGAAGATATCCCTGCTCATTGCAGAGGGGTTGGACTAGATAACCTTGAAAGATTCCTTCCAACCCAAACTATTCTACAATTCTATGAAGATACTTTTTTCAAACTAGGAATAGGGAGAGCATTATAAAATGATTCCCACATATGATTCCCACAAACAGAAATTTGAGGGTTCCATACCAAATCCTCTGCCATGGACTGTGCTCCAATGTCAATGGAGAGGCTGCTGAGTTGAGGGGGATTCTGAAATTCACGGTAAAATGTCCCCAGGTCCATTGGAAGAATGTCATCTTTTGAAAATGCTGGCTTCTAGAATCAAAGACACTGCTGTTAATTCCCAAAGACCAAAGGCTTCCCTTTTGTTATAATCTCAGGTAAAGTCATTACCTGCTATCAGTAAACATCTTGGCATTACAACTGTTGCTGCAATAATGCATCTTAAATAACTGAAGAACAGCCAATATCACTTGATATCACAATATCACTTGTGCAGAGAACATGTCTTTGGAATCTGGCTCCTCTAGGTGCTAAGAGAGAGGGTGCCAAGCCCAGATGTTAGTAGAGAACTTAAATGGTATTTAATTTGTAGCTGTTGATTCTTGGTACCAGTGTCTTTGAAGTTCTGGGACTGTCACACCCTAGTGTGACTCCCACTGAAAACTACTCTGACATCATTTGCCATCGCACCAGCACGTGAAGCCCACCTAAGGTGCAGATGTTGTGTAAGAGCTCTGATGAGGACACTTACAAAGTCAATCATAACAAAGTCATCATGGGTGTTCCCTGTGCTGCTGCCACTGGAGCCCTCTGAGTGTAAGCTGCCTTGTAGAGGAGATTCCGTTTCTGGGGATTCAGGAGGATTGACCTGCCCAAGAAATCAGAGACGGTGAGTACTGATCTTACAGTCATGTCTGTCTGTGTACTTTGGCACTGTGGGGGCAGTTAGGAGGTTGGACAGTAAGCATTAACTAGAGCAGGGGCAGCAAACACATTCTGTTATATGCATGTCTAGACAGCCCAAGATTCAACACAAGAGATTTCTTGAAACCAGACAAATCTGAGTAACTAGTTATTTTCTGCAAAACCGAACTGTAGTCAAAGCAGAGAATAGCACAGATGTTTGCATAAGGGATGCTGAGAAGGTACATATACCTCTGGAAGAGTCTTACCATGGGGTCGTTATCTTCCAGCTCAACATTCTTGGGAGCAAACATGGCAAAAGGAATGTCTAAGTTGGCCATGGTCACCTGAGGAGATTTAGCAAACAGAATTTCACTAAGATGCTCTGCTTACCCGGCACAGAAAAGAATACTGAACATCTTTGTCAGGCCAGCTAAAAACGGCCCAAAGTCACGTCAGCAGTTAGGCAGGATGCTGACAACCTCATTTAAAAGGTATGAAATCCAGAAATGATACTTAGTTGACCTAATGCAGATACATATACTTTGAGGTGGGATTATTTTTATACATATCTTGTATAATATAGGCAAAGATTTTTGAACTGCTACAAATTGAAACAATTCTCCTTCCTTCATCCAAAAGGCCTAGAGCTGCAGCCCTAGGAACTAAGTAGATATCTAAGCTGCCCTAACTGAATTTAAATGCTTGCTTCTAGTGATGAACTGGTCTACTGCATGTTCCTTCAAGGAAGGGAGGCTTGCTGCCAGCTTTCCTAGTTTATGGACCTGTGGTAGTGGCAGATCACTGTGAGATCCAAGTGGAGTACCAAGTCTTCTATTCTCAAATAGGGTGTTGACAAAGTGGAGCAAATTCAATGGCTGTCACATCCCAAAAGGATTTTAGGAAAAACAAAATACACCTTGGCAAAACCTTGTAGGGAAATGCAGCAGGCAGAAATTATGCACTCTCAGTCTCTGAGGTTGCCCTGGCATTGGAGTGCTTTTTGCTCCTCTGTGTATGAACAGATGAGAAAAGAAGGGTATTATGATGCTCTCTGAGGAGATCTACTGCTTATTACCTGGTTAATGGGTTTGTTGACAAAAGCTCCCACCTTCCGGACAAAGATGGTCTCCAAAAGGTCATGTGGGGAGCCACACTTTCCTTCACTGCTGTTGGATACTGTTTCTGTGTCCTCACTGGGGGAGGGAAATACATAATTAGTGCCTCCTGACACAAACAGGGTAGATAAATAACATTCTTTTTGAGACTCAATTTTTCTTAATTGACTCCTCATATTGGAAGAAGGACAACAGAAATTTGTCCTTGTACCATAAACTTCCTCCTCAGTCAGGAGCACAAAAGGAACGTTGACACCTACGGAATCAGATTTTTGTTTAAAGCTGGACAAAAACTATTTAGTTGAATGTAAAGTTGCTGAAACAGGCTTTTCTTCTGAGAAATGGACTTTTAACTTGTGTATGTTCACAGCAATTCCTGTTCATCACTACTATTTTTTCAGTAACACAGTAGTCACAGATGTCTCAGGAAGAGAGGGCAAGAACCACAATTGTATCTGTCACTCAGTTTACAAATGCAGCAGTCTGGTACATCACAACAGCCACTCCCAGTATGATTAATTCACTCCATGGCTGTTAGGTACTTCCATGACCTATTTGTTTTGGGTTTTTTCCTACCACAGGTATTCAGAACTTTAAAACAAAAAAATAGTTTTGTCCCATGGAAAGAGGGTTACCTAGATAGTATACCCAGGAAAGTGCTAGTGCAACTGAGTTTTAGTTTCCCCAAAGCAAAATCTTTGTGACTCACAACTATGTGACCCCAAGACCGATTTCTGAAGAATATGGTGATCAAAAAAACCCAGAAGGATTTAATTAGCTGTGAGGGAGTTGATTTAGGACAGTTTGAGGTTGCATTGTTTTCTGTTAAGTAACTTTGTGCCTGAAGTTTCTTACTGAAATGGTGAACAGATTTATGGTAACTACAACTGGCTTTGGTAACTACACACATTAAGTCTAAAGAATTTAAGACTCGTGTGAACTCACTGCATCTTGTTTTACAATCAGCAAAACCAGCAGAAAGATTGAAAAAATCATAAAATTGATAATAAAGTTGACATAGAAGAAGATGTATTACATAGAAAATGGACTAGGAGGTTTAAATCGATGGGCAAGATCTTTGTTTGGAGAAGGGCTGAAAAAGCCCTAATTAGAGAAAGCTGTGAGTTGATTTGAGGGATGGAAAGACAATAGTTATACTATAAACAATACATAAAAAGGGGAAACAAAAAGTTAAAACTTATAGGATTATAAATGGGTTAGCAAAAGTGGTGGATCATTAAAACCAGCCTACCTGCTAGAAGGAGTAGCTGCTGAGTAATGGACTCCATCCAGTGGGGTGCACATCCTGTCTTGGTCAGCTTGAGTGCCATGTGCTGGCTGGCTAGGAACTGGGGGAACTCCCCCTTCTTTGCCTGGACCAATCAACTGAGATAGAAAGAACAGTCGAGTTAAGAGATCTCAAAATCAAACCAAAATCACAGTGCAATACAAAGTAGATTCCATTATACTGGGCATAGGTTGTGGGGGTTCTGGCATATGACTGGCCTCTAGCCCCTACAAGCCTCAGAGAGATGTCATGTAGGAGTGGATTATCACAATACAAAGTCATTTTTCACTCCCTTTCTACTCTACTCCTCTCCACTTCAGTCCTGTTGTACACTGCAGAGTTCTCTGGCTCTAAAACCTCTGCTTCATGGGGAGGAATGGAGGAGAAGAAACTTACATCCTTTTGCTACAACCCCATGGCTCCCTATAGCTTCAGGAGAAGGGGAAATGGAGAGGAAGGTGCTAATCTCTTCTCCCTGGGATCCAGTGAAAAGAGTAGTTTGAAGCTACACCAGGAGAGGCTTAGACTGGACATTAGAAAGAGAGGGTGGTCAAAAACTGGAAGAGTGTTCTTCTCCTAGAGGGATGGTCAATGCCCCAAGCTGTCAGTTTTTAAGAAGCATTTGGACAATTGCCTTAATACTAGGCTTTAACTTGGCCCGTCCTCAACTGGTCAGGCAGTTGGACTAGATGCTCACTATAGGAACATTCCAACTGAAATTATTTTATTTTATTAACATTGTGTCTGCAAAACTGGTGTAACACCAGTATCACAAGCAGAGAAAGACTTCTGTCAACTTGGCTTATTTGTCTGATGAACCAATATAACATGAACCATATGTCAATATGAACTGTCAGTGTATCATATGTCTAGCTTACAGAACTATGCTTGGACAGCTACAGGGGCAGCAGCTGTGTAAGACAGGCAATGTTTGGAATCAGTGACAAGCTGGTGCAGGCAAACAGGTCAGATGCCTGCTGTCTTGGCATCGTTTTTCCACATGACCCCATACCCCAGTAAAGTCAGGGATGCTGAGGAGCCAATTCCCAGCTCCTGTGGAAGTTGTGATTTCTCTGTATTTACATTCTTTCCATTCCTGACAGACAGGACACCAATGCATGCACTAGTTTCACTAGTACACTCTCAAGGGTGTACAAGTGACACAAATGGCTGCAATACCAGTCATACTGGTTCTACTCTCTACAAGTACCTGGTGAGGGTGTGCAGCATTCAAGCCACCAGCAAAGAGTACAGGATACCCCATGTCAGCTGATCCAACTCCCAGGGCAGCAGGCTGATAGGAAAGACGAGAGCTGGAAAGCTAAGAAAGAAGAGAAAAAACAAGGGCAAAGGGAGAGGAGAGAGGAGAGGGAAGGGGAATGCCCCACAGCCTGAATAATCACCAGTCATTGAAGAAGGAATATGAAAAATCACAGGCACAGCATTTCAGGCTGGCAGAAGGATGCAAGATTTTCACTGGAATCAATAATGTGATTATTGTTGTAAAAAATTCTTATTGCTATGAGACTCTGAGCCTGGACAGGAAAACAAGATTGGCTTCCTACATATGTAGGAGGAGGCTGTGCAAGGTATGACTGACATGTATGATACCCAGTCTCAGGGAAGCTCTGCTCTATAGGCCTATTTCAAATACTGGTGTAGTGGGTTGGCACTGGCCAGATGCATGAATGCCATTGTGAACTTACTAAAGAGTTAATATTTAATATTTTTTTCATCTGAAAACAATTAAATTATCAACTACTTGAACCTACTCCCTCTGCAAATTAAAACAGGTGATCTTCCAGACCCGTTCAAATACCTTCAGTGAAAGAATACATGGTCCCATAAATGTGCCAGGTAAAGAGAACTGGGAAGCTAACCCCTGTGAGATTGCTTTAGAAATTAAGTATTGGAAGCAGTGAAACCCAGGAGAAATTCCTTATACATCCCAGGCAGAAACTACCCAGCCAGGTTAGATAAAACTTTATTGTTTTGACTTGCCTGACCTCAAGAGGAACATTTCTTCCAGAGCTCAGTGTGAGCTCCAGCAGCACCAAAGCTGATGTCCTTTACAGGGATCAAAATGAGGAACAGCACTTTCATTTACATGAGTAAATTTACATTTACATTTACTAATTAAGCTGAGTGGAGCTGTAATGACTGTAGAGCTTCTAGGGACATTGGCTGTTAACAGAAAACACTCAGTATTGTGCCTTACTACTGTGTCTTTCACTAACAATCCTTGACAGCTGTTGTGTTTTTAGGAGTACTTGTCCTGTCTTTGGGAGAGCTTCATCTGCAAATGCATTCAAGAAGCCAGTCTCAGTAAAGTGCCTGGCTCATTGTGGGTCCACCAGTCTTTTCCATGCACAACAAACACTCGACACTGTCAAATTTGTATTTTCTCGTGTTTGTTTTGTCATGCCAGAACCTGTCTTCTGGCCATGATACTCTACTGACATGTTCTATTGACAACTCACTTGATGTGAAAAGGCCAGTCCCATCACTGGGACCTTCAAGGTGTCCGTCACCACAGGAGGAGGGGTCTGAAAATGTGCTTTTGTGACAGTAAAAACACACTGTGCACAGACACAGACAAACAGAGGAAACAAGGAAAAGAGAGAGTGAGGGGGGAGAGAGAAAGAGAGAGAAGACTTCAGAGAAGAATTATGAAGAGTTGGATGAACTGAATGCTAGTGAAGAAGTTTTGGCTGCAGCAGCCACACCTACACAGAGAGCAGAAGTCTCAGTATTACCAGAAGCACATTCATTTTGTAAAGAATTGACTGTTTTTCAATCTGAGTGAACCACTGAACACAGGTAATACTTTAGACTCCAGTGAACCCTGACAGAAAGTAACTGCCAGAGACTCTGTTCCACAGTTAATTATAATTTGGTACCAGCCAATTAGTTTGGAGAAGGCTGAGCAGATGCCAGAAAAAGTCTAGTACTTTTTTTTTTAAATTTGCAAATGAATTGTATTTCAGCGCTTTCCATCCTTCCATACTCTCTATCCTCCAGCTTTCTGAGGGATCCTATCTTGGCAGCTCTGTGCTGCACCCTTACAATAAAGGGGACTCAGACTACAGTGCAATTCAAACACACTGATGTGAAGCAGGAACTCCATCAACAGGAGCAAAACTCCAGAAGTAAACAGTCTCACAGAGGGTGCTAATGCAAAAAGGGCAATCCAAACCTAGTTCAGTCCCATACCTCCTCCCATTCATTTTCCAACCAATGGTTTTCACTCTGAGGAAAGCTTCAGCTTCATTTCTGGGTATTACTCATGGCCAGACTCTCCTGAATTTTGGGCTACTTCACAACACACAAACACAGACATGCAAGCTCACAGAGAAGGTAACAACTATTTCCTTGTATCACACAGGTTAGGCCTCACTTTTACTGAGAAGGCAGGTAGAGATTCACACAATTTGCCCATAAAATCACACGGTTCCTGGTATTTTCCTAGTCATTAACCTAGACAGGACATACAGAAAGCTGGAGAAAACTTCTTTCCCTTTTAATTCAAAGTCCACTGTACCAAGGCAGCCCTACAATTCTAACTGTGGTAACAAAGACTGGCAGTTGCTTTACAAATATGTGCACAGCATATGGCAATTATGAGCCACAGAAAAAGCAAGAAGTAGGCTCATATTAATGTGAATCCTCAAGGTTCAAGTGGTTTCATAAAGCTTTTCCCCCTCAATGACAGTAAAGCTTCATGACCCCTGGGGAAATGTCAACTTCAATGTAGTTACATACACTACTACTGTTAAGTAACAGTGGCAAAAGCAAGCCAGTGGAAATTTCCTTAGGAAATCTTTTGTATTTACCCCACTTTAGGAAAACACGGGATACAACTCAGCCACAAACTCATTTCTAACTGTGTATTGCAGAATAAGAAAAGCTTTATTCCATCAGACTTACCATGAGTGCTGGCTAATTAGTTCAACATTGCCTGATGCCTGGTCACCTGAAATTACTTTGGCACAAAAATGCTTCCTAAGAGAAGCTCATTTCTACCTAATTCATACAGCAGAATACATTCTGCTAAACCAGGCATATTAATTCTTCTGAAGCAGAAGAAAAGACCCATAGCAAATTATTTCAGTTTGGAACAGAATTCCAATTATACTTCATTCCATGTTTCACATTGACTGTGAAAGAGATTTGAAGTCTTTAGATTGTCTTTAAAGGTCAGCAGAGCCATCTGCTTGGCTGGGCAATCCTGAATATTTAAAGTGATAGGACAACTGCAACTCTAGCCAAGTCTTCAAGATACAGAACTGTGGAGTCAAATACATAAGATAGTAAAGGAACTTGGGAGTTTCTGGGCTTTTATATTTAAAAGGAAACCATTATCTATTTATTTTAAAATTTAAACTTAAATAAAATTTGCATGGGCAATTTTTTGCCGATACTTACTCCTGCTGCCCCAACTAATTTTAGATGGTCCAACAAATACAACTTTTGTCTTTTTTCTGTCTTTCTCCATCATTTTCCTGGTATTTCAGTGTTTCTTTCTCAATGTCAGTCTGTTACTCCTACTCAGGCTGCCTGGCATCAATGTCTTGAATTCCTCCTCTTGCAGTATTGGTATGTAAATGTGTAAGTATACTGCTATCCTCTTTAAGCACACCTCAACCCAGCTACAGGAGTAGGCTCTTTTAATCCTTCTCAGTAATTCAGTCCTTCTAGGCCCCTGGAATTTTGTTGAAATTAGTATCTAATTTCAGTAGATTTTACTCAAGAGTGTAATGACAGAAGTAACCCACACATTAAATTTTAATTAGCAGCAGGAGGTTTTCTGTTTGCACAATAGCTGATGTAGGAATATGCAAACTATTCTGACAGCAATTGTTCCATCTAGAAGTTAAAAGAGCCTGGTTTCTCTTACCTGAGATGGAGGAGAGGTGGAAAAAGATGTGGTACACACTTCTTGGGAATCTTCTACTGAGGGGTACACTGCACCATTGTCCTCACCAGCTCTATAGCAGCAAGAAAAGACAAGTTTTCTAACTGGAAATATTCCTTAAAACAAACAAAGAGTAAAACACACTGGGACAAACACTGCAGGGAGGTTGAGAGTATTTGGGTGTAGTTGAAAGGAGAATTATGAAGGGCTCTCATCTACTTGCCAGAACTGAGGAAAACAAAGTGGGAAAACATCAGTTTTCCTCCAGTGTTTGTCTTTTACCCCATGTAAAATAACAGAGGTGTTTCTAAGTACTGCTTTTGTTATACCAGCTAGTGCTACTGGCTTTGGTGTTTACACAACCATTATCAAACACCACCACTGGTCCTGATTTGAATACCCTCACATTCATTTTAGAGAAGACAAACCTCTCATCTCCAAAGAAAAATTAAACTGATCTTCCCCCAGTATCCAGGGATGCCTGTATCTAGACACGTAGTTCTGCATCAGGATTAACCATTGCACTTTCAGATTCCTGAAGGCAGCCAAGATTAAACATCCTTTGTGTCCACTGTGAAGAATTTGGGAAAACACTGGGGCTTGCTACACTCAGTCGTCTCAATGTGAGGAGAAAAATGTCACCCTTCATCACATATTTAACTACACCAATATTACTGACACTAATTCTCCAGTGTCCCTTCCCATGCTGTCAGTGAATAGTGGAAAAGGCTCTGTATTTGGGCATAATGGATGCCTTTACCATGGCCCATGACTTCAACTCAGTATTTCCTCACCTGTAATTGCAGGGATGCATGGGTGAAGAGCTGGGATAGGGACGGTCCACAAAGTGATCAATTATAATCCCCATGATAGGAGGGGTCCTCTCAAACTGCCTGCAAGGTAACAAGCAAGGGTGTTATTGGCTTTTTCTCTCTACTCTTCCCAATTTGTGGTGCCTTCACAGAAAACCCTTGTGTCTCTTAATGGGACCAGAGCATCTTTACAATTTAGTCCTGTGACTCGAGGCATGCATCAACAATTTGGAGTTCTAGAACCTGGCTCTGGGCTACCCAAATACTCCCCTTGCTGCAAGGCTTAAGCGTGAGAGAGAGCATTCATGAAAGAGAATCTCAGCAGGAAAGGATAAGCAGAAGGGAAAGAATTGGGGGCTCAGAATATGAGGGGTTTAACAGTAAATTATTGTAAAACAGTTTCTGGCATGATCACATTTTCTCACCTGGTTGACATGAAAGCAAGGTTGATTCTGTAGGCACAAGACAAAGTGATGGTGCCCACTGGGGTACCCACTGTCCCAACACGGACTGTCTGAAAACCTGTGAAGTTAAGGAATATTTATCAGTTTCACTGATTGTTTATGTGCCATACTTTTTTATTCTGAGGTTACATTATCTTATTTCAGTAGTGTTTCCATTATCTCTTGCAATCTGAACTCCAAAAACACACAGAACCCATAACTAAACAGCAACACTAGGTTGCCTTGCTGGTGGGCTTCACCCTGCAAGACTTCTGATGTTGCTTCCTGGCTTCTTGGTCTAAAATATTGTTCTGAAGTGCTTCTTGTTCCCCGTAGATCATGATCTCCTTTACCAGTCCTGCCCCTTATCAACAAAATTCCATATTCTTATTTCAGTTCTGTATCACTAGAGTCAAAATGGCAATCACCCAAGACTTTGTCCAAGTGCCACCATTGTACTTGTCACCTCGTGACACAAGGCTGCACTGGCAGATCCAGACAAAAAGCATATATAAGCCTCAGACTAATTTTCCTTACGGTACTTGGGAATAGTAATCAAAAGACAGGCAGAATGAAACATAGTTCTGCTTTTGTTTGTGTGTTGTCTAATCATACCTTCTCCCAAGCCACTCAGCTGGACTTCACCAAAATATATCCTGAAGGAAAAGGAAAAAGAAAAGCTGTTAGATCCAGTTGGGACATAATGCTATACACTTATTCCTTATTAAATCTTGAGAGTTAAAAGGCTGGAACTGCTTTTCCTCTTCAGTAAAAAACCCACAAAATAAATGGCTGGAATGCCCATCTCAAAAAACCTTACAGCTGCTTCAGAAGAAGAACAGGTCATGTAAAAAGAAGGAGAAAGAGAAAATGGTAGTCCAGTCAGAAACTTCTCTTTTTTAAGCCTCTGCGGTTAAGTCTAAAGTTCAGAGCAAAAATGTGAAGTGATACAAACGTCACAGATAGGTCTGAGTCTTAAACCTGATGCTCATCACACAACATAAAAGATTAACTGTGCTGTAAAGAGACCTGCTCTTAAGTACATGTCAAGTCAGCAGTGGAGGCAAAAATCAGAAAATGGCTGGAATTTCTTTTTGAGTTCTCAGGATGTATCTTTAAACCTTTAAAATGGATTAACAGGAGAGAGTCTGAATCTATGCTGCAAAAGTACACATTGCAGTTATGTGCAGTGTAGAGAGGCATTTATCAAACACAGGCCAGACACTAAACAACTGGATGCTAGTAAGCAATTTAACCAGGGATTACATGTAGAACTTTTTTTTCACTCTTTCTAACATGGTAGGCAAACTTCACAGCCCATGCTTAGCTTTTCTTTCAATGGCTCAAGTCCAGTCTATAAGGTGATACATAGACCAAAGTTTTCTTCTGTCTCCGATCAGTAGTAGTTCTATGCAAATAATTTATTATTACTCATCTCTTTTTAACTACATTTGCAGCTACACTGGGCAAGTCTAGAGTCTCTGCTGTTTGCATTTCAAATGAGAAATTTCTGCTTTACCTGTACAATATTACATATTCATGGCCTTGTTTCCTTGAGAGTCTGTAGGCTGGAGTTACTCTGGTTATAGCAAGCAAAGACTTCAGCAGTAGAGACAGCCTGTTGTATACAGTGTATGAAACTTTGATTTCTTTGTCACACCTAGAGAACACAAATGAAAAAAATTAGTCTCTTCTCCACAACTAAATTTCCTGGGTTTGGGGTTCTTTGCTTTGGTTTACAGTTGCTTTTGTTTATTTTAAACAAAAATTAGTCTGGGCCAGTTGTTTAATTTTATTGCCAAAACGATAAATAAAGCCCCAGTGTGGCTACCTTTACTGACCAACCAGCTAAGAATCCTGCTTCAACCTAGTCACTTGCTGTAGAAGAAATTGCTGAAAAATGCCATGCAGCCTTCTACTGAACAGAGATATCTTTTCAACATTAAAAATATTTGTCATTATTGAGACTATGAATTCTTGTATCTGAGGAAACTTCCTAGTTGTAATGGAAGAATGAAGAAGGAGTTAAATTACTAGTTTACTTTCTTGACACTGGTGTTGGAAGACTTTGACTGCTGCTCTAGACAAAGAGAGGAGTTCCCTCTGAAGTGCCCCTGGCCACACAGCCACTATGTGCTCAATGATCACCATGGATTAACTGCATGTGCCCATTTCATCAGCTAAGAACTACATCAGTATGTGAAGAATGCACTTACTTTTCATTCATTTCTAGACACCAAATTTCCAGCTCCATGGAGTCCCCCTGAATCAGAGAAAAGATGGCAAACAAAGGCTCATTTCAGAACACAGACCTTTTCAAATCTCATTGCTGATCAGCAATGGCCACATCTCTCAATGATTTATCTCTTGGCTCCCACTTTCTTGTGATGCAATGATACAAAAAGGTGCACTGGAAGTGTTCCTGCACAGTTGTATCACCTGAGGGAACACCTTCCTCAGAATGCCTGAGTTCTTAATGATCTAAGAAATTAAGTTCCCTAAAATGTAAGAATTTAAGAATTTAATTTTCTTAAAATTAGTTTCTTAAAAAATTTAGATTTTGCAGCTGTGTCATTTATGTGTTTGGCCTCAGATTTTTGTGAATCGCTTCTGTTAAACAATACATGTCTTTTCATTAGCAAATCACATAACTTAATAAAATTTAGATATTCTCACATTGCCTTGGATTAAAGGGCAGGAGCTCTGATAGTTGACTTAAGATTCAGGCAAAAAAACCCACAAACAAAAAAAAGGGCATCTCTTTTGACTCAGTCCTCACCTCTGAGGTTTTGAGAGAGATCTCCACGCACATAGACCGTCCAACAGCGGGCAGCTGTCCTGCCAGGGCTTTCTTTGCTTCATGAGTAACCTCTGGTATATCTTTGATTGCCAAATTGAACTGCAGAATCAAAGACATAGTTCCATTTTTTTTATTCCTTTGAAAAATTGCCTGATGGTACATTTCAAACAGGCTCACAGACCCATATATAACATACTAGGTCAGTGTCCACTGAAATATTTATGAAACAGAAAATTCCAAGCTGGGTTCAAACTTTTCATATTTACAAAGATTCCCTTGGCTGCTAATTAAAAGGGGTTTTTTTTGATCTTGCTTCCTCATTTCAATCCTATCTTCACCCACAGAGTATCTTGAGTATTTTCAATTTTAATAAAGCACATTACTAAAACGTCCTGAATTGCAGAGTAGCAGACTTCTGACAGATAGGAACTCATCACCCCACCCCCAAGCAGATCTTGGAATTGTGCCTTAGCTGGCAAGAGTTTCTGAGACATAATTTCTCTTTCCCCTCATCAGCCTGGAAGAGTCCCGAGTGATTTGTTGCATGTGAACAACCACCACCAAACCCCCCCGCAACATCACCAATGAACACAGCTAAATATAGTACCCATTCTATGAATAATTATTATTGTCTGCACAAGACTGTAAATAATAATCACATGGTGTTCTCAGCACACACACAGAGTTATGGAGTTGCTCCATAAAAAATATGACCTTACCCAGTCAGAACCTGTTGGGGAGGATGATGAACGGGTACAGATTTTCTCTCCAAGTCGGGCCTGGACAATTACTTGTACTGTCTGCAATAGAAAAAAAAAGGACACACAGAAATGTTTTAGGCTCAGCACAGCCCTCAGTTCAGAGTCTGAGCTACACAAGCTTCAAGTGAAAAAAATTAAAGGGCTGACCAAGATGTAGAGAAGTAGAGTTTGCTACACTGATCTTCAGTTCTAATCTATTAAAATTATTATATTTAACAGGCAAATGAATTTCAGAAGGAAAATCGTTTCAGGCTGACCTTTCTCTGTAACAACATTAAGAGACTAAGTCAATTTTGCAATCGGGATTTGCAGTTTTCAACAGAAAATTCAGAAAAATTTACAAAAATATCTCAAGCCTGGACAACTAAAGCCAAATGAATCTGTACATTTATACCAAAGCCACTGTCAGATTATCTACTTGCACCCATGTATGAAGTGAGTTTTATAATTTTATAATTACATATCAACATCATTCAAAAGAACATTCTAGTATTATTGGTTTTGGATGCAATATAAAAATTTAGGCTGAAAGAGTGGAGTCCAACAGAATAGAGTACCTAACAGCTGGGTGGTTAGACAAGCTTCTAGAAACCCAAAGCTGACAGAGGTGTGAAGTGCCTACAACTGACTCTAAAGCAGGATGCTTCTGGAGGATGGAAGAGGATTTGAGGGTAGAAAAAAGGGGAAAATATGTTTTTCTAGTTGTTCTCAGGAATCTCCTAAATTTGACATCAGCTTTTCTTGCTGTGTTTTTCAGCAAAACAAAACAAAACAAAAAAACAACAAACCCAAACCTCAGTCTTGTTACTCTAGCCATACCAAGCACATTGTTTGTTTTTTGGTTGGTTTTTTTTTTTTTTATCAGGGAAGAAAAGGCATTTGTCCGAAGGAGAAAAATTACCTTTAAAGCAAAAAATTTGATGAACTTGTCCAGGTCCTTCCTGTCCTGGGAACTGAGATCAGTGTCCATTGCATATGGCAATCTGAAATATAGAACATGTCTAGGAATGAAGTCTTCCTCCAGCTTTCTGTTTAGATTTCAAAATATTTGCCATTAGAGGCCACCTCAAAAAAAATTATAAGCACCAAAGCCCTCTACCTGTCAAAATCCAATTAGTCTAAAAATTTTGGGATGTAAGTGTGAGGTATAAAACTGCATTGGTAGTTTATCTGGTCAGTGCAAAGATCAAAAATTAAAAAACCAAAGAAGGCTCACAATTAAAACTCCGTACAAGTTCTACAATTTTGCTTGCTTAATTTTAAAAATCAAAACAAACAAACAAACAAAAAAACCGGAACACCCCAACATCACACTGACTGCATTCTATGCCAAGCTAACCATCAGACATGGAGGTCTCTGCTTCAAAAATAATGTATCTTCAGCTATCAGCACTGGTCAAAGCCAAACCAAATTGTTTTCTGGAGCCTGAAATTCTTAGAACAGTATTTCAGTGGTATTTCAGCAGAAATCTGTATAATAAACCACTGACAGAACAGGCTATACTGCTTCTTTACTTTCAACAAATAGTAATTGCAGTAAAACTATACAGCTACAAAATTTACCTACAACCAACTGAAAAGACACATTTTTGTCAAAAAATAGACCAAAATCCTCTGTTCGGTTCTCTTGAAAGCTCTGGTAATAAATACTTAGCTTTCACATTGACACTGCCTTGTTTTTCAAAATACAATTGTTTCTAGGAACACAATGAACGTGCACAGCGTCTGAAGCAGGGCAGGGCAAGGCACTAATCCTATTTCTGCCACCATCATGTCACATGGCCTGGGATAAATCACAATTCTTCTCTCAGTTTCTTCACACATAAGTTAATAATCATATAGAGACCATTGGGGAGGAACACCTTAATTAGCAGCATTCTTTGTAGTTTTTGCTTGTAAGCCTTCAAAGTATTAATTCACTCTTAACCCTTGTTGCAGTTTTGAGACAGCTAATCAGCCCGAAGCAGCTTGTCAGACATCCCGTATTTATGGAACGTGCTGCTCCTCACAGGAACGCCGCCAGGCTGAGGTCAGGGAGCACAAGCAGCTGCTGTGCATGACGATACTCTGTGTGCAATCATTAAGCACTGACTGAACTTACAGCAAGGTATGCTCTTTATGCAAATTAAGCTTGCAGGGCAAAAGGGCCAATAGTCCTGTTCACACAGAAAATACAGAATCTTTAATGACCGTGCACATGCAGTGCTTTTATTTAAAATATCACACTTCATGACAGTAAAGGCCTAATGCTTTAGGAGCATCAGTCAAACAGGGCTGCAAGATAAGAGTACTGCAATTTGCAAAGCATTTTATAAAGAGTTTTGCTTTCTGAATGACTCTATAAAAAGAAAGCTGGACATATAATATCATTGAAAGTTCTAGGCTACATTAATACCACATCTCTTTAAGCTAAACTCTTCTCATTACAAATTATAATTTGAGAACTAACAACACAAGTGATTCAACATCAGATGCATTATCAAATTATCCTTTGGACATTTTAACCTCCTCATTAAAACTGTTATGCTTTCTTTTCCTGGGCTTACTTCCACTAGACAGATTACAGATCCTTTCCACTGTAGGGAGTGCAAAAGGAAGTCAGCATTTAAAGTGCTTGATGCAGTACTCAAAACTTTAAAAAAATAACCCCTTAGTTACAGACATGTACCACTAAAAAAAACCACAACCCTCCCCAAACAAAACCCCAGGCAAGAACAACCTGTTACTACTCTTTTGAATTAAGTACAGCAGTGTAAGGGCTGAGTAGATCTGAGATACTTGACGAACCTGGCTGATATAGGTAATAAAATACTGCATTAAAAATATGTTTTTCTGAGCGAAGAGAATGCTGACATATAAATACTGAAAAAAAAATCATACTGGCTTTTTAATATAAAAAGTGTTATGTGACCCCTGCAGAAAGATGCAGGAAGTATATATCCTGATATTGTGGGAGAGATGTCAAAAAAAGCACTTTTGAGGCTGGAAAAATGTTCTGATATCAACTTTTTCAAGATGCTTGGGAACTAATGGAAGGTGTTAGGCTCACTAGTCTGTTAGGAAAGGAAACAAAGATGATCATCAGCATAGCTCTATGAGCAGTACAGGAATTCATTCTAATGACACAAAAATATCTAGAGGAGAGAAACAGCCACCAGAGGGTTCAAAAAATGAGAGCTTCGTGGTTCTGCCCTGCTGCAGCAGAACTGGGATTCTTCCTGGAAGATCTGAAACTACCTGTAACATTCATGAAAAATTTGGAAATTCATACCATTACCTCTCTAGCTCCAAATGCCAGCAACAGTTGATCCACCAGAGCCCAAAGCAGAGAATAAAGTATCAGCAATGTTTCCTGGAAAGGAGTAAGTCATTTTATGGAAAAATTGGGACTTTAGAACTCAGCTCCTGAAATATCTAAGGGCTCTCATCTGACAACCAATATCTCCTCATTTTTGTAGGAGGGCCTCTGGTGACTGCCTGAAACCTTCTAAGGCTCAGAACAGTGTTTATCTTTAGAATCAGTCTTGGTAAGAGTTAAGATGGAGCTAGAATTACAGCAAACTTTTCATTTACAAAAATTCTTTGGTATTCTCAGGTTAGCTGCCACAGCTGACCTGAATAGGAAGGAAATTCTTTAAACTTTGTTCCACCAAACTCAATCAACTTCTCACGTCCTGAAGGTTGCAATGCCAGCACAGCTCCTTGTTAAGTGCTACTGCACAGGCCTATGCTTAACTCAAGGAAAACACTGGCTCATTTTACACTGAATAACAACTAGAAGGGAATAACCTTTGGTCTAGGTTAGAAAAATACACGACTGATTTCCCCTCAACCAGGTAATCCCTTAAGTAAACTGATATATTCGCCAGCACATGATGCAACAAGCATCTTGTCCATATGGCTTTTTGTTTTGTCTCCCACTTCCTGCACCACTCATTTTTATACTATTGCTTTTATTTATATTCCTTTGTCTTCAGACTGTGAACAGAAATATCAGAAACAGGATGTCCAAAGGAGAACTGCCACACGTGGCTCTCTTGACTAAATCCTTATTCCTTCTCCCAAGCTTGAGGCAGATTTTATCCAACAGTTTAACATTCTAAGCATTGTGCCTTAAATGCTCTGCTGCTATTTATACCCTCCTCTGACGAGAAGGACACATCAGCATAAGGTGATGGCGCTGTTTGCATGATGCAAGGAACTGCAAGAGCCCTCCCCTTAATGCCTCGGCAGAGCCCAGAGGAACTACAGCGACCGGCACGCCATGCTCCCAGCCCAGCTCCCAGCCCTGCTCCGTGCTCCCAGCCCTGCTCCGTGCTCCCAGCCCTGCTCCCAGCCCTTCTCTGTGCTCCCAGCCCTGCTCCGTGCTCCCAGCCCTGCTCCCAGCCCTTCTCTGTGCTCCCAGCCCTTCTCTGTGCTCCCAGCCCTGCTCCGTGCTCCCAGCCCCGCTCCCAGCCCTGCTCCGTGCTCCCAGCCCCGCTCCCAGCCCTGCTCCGTGCTCCCAGCCCTTCTCTGTGCTCCCAGCCCTGCTCCGTGTTCCCAGCCCTGCTCCAAGCCCTGCTCTGTGCTCCCAGCCCTGTTCCCAGCCCTGCTCCCAGCCTGGAGCAGCCCTGCTGCCGGCAGACACCTGTAACCCTGCACACAACAGGTGCATGGGAACACCTGGGATCACGGGCACTACACTACGTGTTTCATACATGGGAACTGAGTGAGTACATCTCCCTGACACCTACAAAAACAGGAAAGGAGAAGAAGCACCTGACATATACCAGACACTATTATTGCTGCTGGGGAAAGCATACATAGGCTGCTTCCATCAACACCTATATTTCTCTCTGAGCCATAACTGCTACAACTTAAAATTATCTTGCTTTCTTTTCAAGCAGACGTTCATCAATGCAAAATAATTAATCACGTTTCTTATCCCAGAGTGAAACTGAAAAGACAAGAGGGAAGAAACCAGAGCGGTTGTAGCTGTAAGGAGAGGGCTGTGGACAGCTCTCATCCCAGATGTTTGTTCCCAGTTACCTGGCTGTGCTCCTTGCCCATACTATTCTTCCAGAACTTCTTTTTAAATCCAAATCCAATCTCCAAGGATGTTCTATGAGAAGCTCAGAAAAGCCTCACTGAATCATGCAGTAAACAAAAACCACATGGAAGTTTTTGAAGCTTTTAAAGAGTGCCTAGAACACATTCTCCCTTGAATGAGCAAGAAGCTTCACTGCAAGCAGGCATTTTGAGCACACTAATAAGCAACTATAAAAAGATCTTCATAAACACAGTGCTCTGTTTCAAGACTGGGCCTACAAGTCAAACTCCAGTATCCTAGAATTATTTCATCTCCATTTTGCCTTCTTAGTAGATTAGTCAGAAATTTAGGGAGAAGTAACAAACAGTTCTAAGGTGTGACACTCTCATTCTTTAAAGTTTATGGATTTTTAAAGATTAAATTCTAGCAGAAAAACTGTTTCTGCTGTATATAATATAAACATTTTGATGTAATCAAAGGCTCTGTAGTTCACTATATGTTCAGGTTTTGACTGATAAAGAGGTAATTTTCCCTCCTGATCAGGAAACAGATTCACTTTAAAAATGACTCTGCAGCTTAGTAAATACCTTACCAAGGCAGCACTGCCAGCTCACTGACTTAGAAACAAAATTAAGTAATTCCTGTTGACCAGCAGTTACGTTCTGTACTTCCCTAAGATCTAAAAATGGTATCAGTTCAAAGGTCCATTCTTTCAGTTTGTTTGTCAAGCCAAAGTATACAGACTAAACCAGAATCTGCTTCTACATACCCTGGACTATAACTACCAACAGAATCACCACCTCTCAACTATTGTATGAACACATTCAGAAATATTAAGATTATACAATACCATTTAAGCAAAATAAAGTGATCCTGTATGATCCTTCTGGACAGCTACAGACAGCCTGGCCCATCTGTAAGACTTATTTCTTGACAAAAGAAGGAAGGGTCCCCTCCAGGTCAGGCCACTCCTGCAATAATTTGGAAATGCTCTAAACTTTGTTTGGACTGCCAACTAATTTTCAGCTAAGGCAGTAATTTGCTGTTTTTCCCCTTGGTATGTGCCTAGTCACACTGCTTTTCAGAGTGTAAGAAGGCAGTTAGTAGGCTCAGTCCAAATATTCCCTTTTCTACCTGTTCACTGACATGGAAGGTGTCTCTGCTCCCATCGAATCCACGGGAATGACTGACTGTGCCCTAAGAGCCACAGCTCCAACAGGAAAGAAAGCTACGACCACCTGTAAACCTCTGCTTTCCAAGCACACCACAAACTCGCATCTTACAGGAACGCTATATAATGGAGAGTGGGCTCTCATATTCCACTACTTCCAACAGGCTCTGAAGCATTTTGATTTTAAATGACCACTTGCTGAGATTACAGCGGGCCACATCTTTCCCAGGCTCCACTGACAACCGCCAGTCGTTAGGAAAACGAATCGCAACCGACACGCGGCTGTCGGGAACCGACCCCCGCGCGCAGCGAAGCAAAGTAAAACGGAGACACGAAGCCGTAGCCAAAGGCTTAAAACCCACGTCGCGGCCCCCTCCCCTCGAAGGGCCTCCCGCAGGCTCGCGTTGCTCCCAGCCCTGCGCTGCGGGGCCCCGCGGTACCTGCGCAGGGCCGGCAGTGCTGGCGGCGCGGCGGCTCATCCCGCGCGGGGCCCGCTCCGCCGCCGCGACCCGGCGCCTCCTCCGCGCCCCGACCGGGCACGGGGAGAGCCCCCCGGCCCCGGGACCGCGACCGCCGCCTCCAAGCCCCGAAGCCGCCCCGGGGCTCCGGCCGGCGCCCCTCCTCCTCCTCCTCCTCGTTCCCGGCCCGGGGGTCTCGCCGCGAGTGTCAGCGCCGGCGGGGGTGCGCGGCCGGCGGCGGGGACCGGGCCGGGGCTGCCGCTGCCCTCAGTGCCGCGGGCTGCGCCGCGCCGCCGCCATCGCCGTCGCCATCGCTGCTGTTTGTTTTCATCCGCTGCGGGCGGGGGGGGGAAGGAAGGAAGGAGGAAGGGAGGGAAGAAGGGAGGTGCCTGAGTGTCCGCAGCGGCACTTTCCGTACGCAGCCGCCGCTCCCCGCCCGCCCGCGGCGCGCTGAGCCCGCAGGCCGGCGGGGCGGGAGGTCGCGGAGGCCGAGAAAAGCGGGGCAGCGCCCGGCGCCGCTCCCGTCGGTAGCCCCTGCCTGTGGCGAATCTATCGCGGCGAATGTGGGGCCGGGCCGGCGGGGACCGCCTGGGAGCGGCCGCGGGACCAGTAAGGGGTGGGACGACTCCGGTGAGGGTCGGGCGGCCCGTGGGGTCCAGGGCGCCCGGCCAGGGCAGCGCCCGCTGGGACTGCGAGACCGCCCGGCGGGCTGCCCGCGGCTTGTGTCTGCCGGAGCCCGGCCGCGGGGACTGGGGACCACTCCAGCTCCCTCTCCGCCACGGGAGGTAAATTCCTGTCAGCGCCGGGCAGAGTTGGCGGCTCCGCGGTGAGCCCACCTGGATGCCCGTGTATTTAAAAGCAGAAAAAGAAAAGTAAAATGTTTTGCTGGATGATCAGAAAAAAAAAGGAAAATGGTAACGGAGTCTGAAAGCTCACCAGTAACAACTGTTCTGAGTATCCTCTTTTGCTTTATGCAGGTGAAGCCTCTGGGAAAGCCCTGTCAGAGGGGAGCCCCAGAGGACGCCCCTGACCGTCAGCCATGGCCGTACCTATCGCGGTTCTTGACTGCGACCTCTTGCTCTACGGCCGCGGACACAGGACTTTGGATCGCTTCAAGCTGGAGGATGTCACGGATGAGTATCTAGTATCCACGTACGGCTTTCCCCGACAGTTCATTTGCTACCTGGTGGATCTCCTGGGAGCCACTCTCTCACGCCCTACACAGCGGTCCAGGGCCATCAGTCCAGAGACGCAAATACTTGCTGCGTTGGGTTTCTACACCTCTGGCTCCTTCCAGACTCGCATGGGGGATGCTATTGGCATTAGCCAAGCCTCAATGAGCCGCTGCGTTGCCAATGTAACCGAGGCACTGGTGGAAAGAGCCTCACAGTTCATTCACTTTCCTAAAGATGAAGCTACTGTACAGAGCCTGAAGGACGACTTTTATGGGCTAGCAGGAATGCCAGGAGTGCTGGGGGTGGTTGACTGCACCCACGTGGCAATCAAAGCGCCGAATGCTGAGGATTTGTCCTATGTGAACCGAAAGGGTCTCCATTCCCTGAACTGTCTCATGGTGTGTGATTCCAGAGGAGTCCTCCTTAGTGCTGAAACGCACTGGCCAGGCAGCCTGCCTGACTGCACGGTGTTAGAGCAGGCAGCCCTCACAAGCCAGTTTGAAACTGAGCTACATAAAGATGGCTGGCTACTTGGTAAGTCAATTTTTCATCCTTGTTTTCAGTAGAAAGTCTATTATATATTGTCGCCTTACTGGGTGAGAACCTCTGGGCACAAGTGATAGGTTTACTTTCAATTGCTTTCCTGCAATGTGCTTTGAGATTTACGACTCAGTTTGGACAACCCTTGTCGTGGAGGCTTAGAACAGTTACTTCTAATCTGTGTTTTATACAATCTGATTATTGTACGTGTTAATCCTCATTCATTCTGTTAATAGCTTTCTTTCAGTATTCTACACCTTTCCATGCTTAATAGGCAATTTTTAATTCTAGGTGCTGTCCTAGTCCAACTGTTTTCCCCTGTTTTGTGCAGGAGATTAATTCTCTTAGAATTCTTCTGTGGAAAATCTTCCAGGATTTTCTTGTGTAACACTGAATGCCTTTACTTTGTCACATTTGTAAACCAGAGTTACTTCTTCCGTGCCTTCTCTTTTAGCCAGAGGAAGAATTTACTCTGTATCTGCTGTACCAGAAAACCAAGCTGAAATCTGTGGCTAACTGTAGGTGTGTAACCTGTCCTGCTCCTTCCCACTGCTAACAGGTGACAGCTCCTTCTTGCTCCGGACGTGGTTGATGACCCCCCTGCACATCCCCGAGACGCCCGCAGAGTACCGCTACAACATGGCCCATTCCGCCACTCACAACGTCATTGAGCGCACCTTCAGAACCATTCGGTCGAGGTTCCGCTGCCTCGATGGCTCCAAAGGCACCCTGCAGTATTCTCCAGAGAAGTCCAGCCACATCATTCTGGCCTGCTGCGTGCTTCATAACATCTCCCTGCAACATGGACTGGACGTGTGGTCTGCGCCAGCCGCAGGACACATGGAACAGTCGGAAGAAGAATACGAGCAAATGGAATCAGTGGACTCGGAAGCCTGTCGCGTTCGTCAGGAACTTTTACTTACTCATTTTAGCTAATGCTGTGACAGAGAGAAGGCTTCTAACAGTCCATCTGGGAAGACATCTGGAACAAATAAGTCCCTTCCTTTTCTTCAAGCCTGTAAAGACCTAAGCAGATGGGAGACGAGAAGAAATTTACTCTCTTCGTTTCAGGCAGATTTCTGAACTCCTCTCAATCTCTCCAGAGATTCAGTTTAATTGGTACATTTTTGCTGTCGTGATGCTTAGAGACACCCCTTTCACTTGACTTAGAGAACAATGACTAATGTGACAACAATGGGAAAATTAGGGAAATTGTCATTTATAGTGATGGAAAATCTGTAAACCTTGCACTGTTTTACAAAGCAGTGATTCTATTCCACTGTTTAACTCAAAACACTTATGATTGATTTTTTTAAACAGTATTTTGCACAAATTAAATTTCCACATGAGCTCCTTTCTACTATGAATTCACGAGCAGGGAAGCAAACATTTATATTTTTGCTTGCCATTATAAATTCTTGCTGAACACCATTTTGCCATTTTGCACATCTCACAGTCTCTAGTGATTTCCCTGAAAGCTGGCAGCTGTGTTCCAGGAGGGGTCTGGCATTTTGCTGGGCACACACTAGTGCTTGCTCATATCTAGAAGGGTTGAACATTGCTTCTTTCCCAAACAGGCTGGAGAAGATGTTAAGCTATGGTGACTCTGTCAAGTACTTAACCCATATCAGGAAATAGGCTAGTGGAAGTGAGGCTGGTTTTCTCCTGCAGCAGGAAGCTGGTCATCTTGTAGGCTGCTGTAAAAGAAATGCCAAGGACTGACTGCGTCACAGAAATTGAACCCATTGCAAAAGTTCTCCATTTAGATCAAAGCAGAGGTGTGGAAAAGCTGCTCTAGCACTCCTGGCAATCTACTTCTTCAGTGGAACAAGATGACTGATGCACACAGTTGTTGCTGGCACAAGGCTGGGCAGTTTCCTGGAAGTGTTCTTTCTAAACGGCACAAGTGTTTCCAAGGATCTCATGACAGCAGTCTAAGAAAATTTTGTTTCTTAGATTTTATTGTTTACTGGGCAGTAAATGTAACAAAAGTGGTAGGAAATGCAGAAAACTACAAAACTGTAACTACTGAAACTAGCAGTGCAACTACCTGACATGATGGGTCTGTCCTTTTAGAGGAAGCGAGCTGGACCATGCCCCACATTTGATGAATACAAGCCTGTGGGACACGTTTCGCAGTGCAGGGTGGATAGGCAGGGTTAGATACACTCTGCCAGGTTTGCAGTGGCAGTAAGCACTTACTATCTCACAGAAGACCAAGCATATGATATGTAAACAAGATGTTGATGATATGTAAACAAGACGTTTTCAGAAGCCTCCATGAGAGCTGTAAAATGTTATGTACAAAGATCTCAGATGTAATTCCGTTTTCTTTACACAAGGTGTTATATATGAACTACTATTGGTCACTGCAGCAAAGCTCCTGCTCCTTTTATCTAGGAAAAAGCAGACGAGCATTGTTTTCTAAAAAAAACGTTTTTAAGGTAAGAGTTGCTGCCGTATATGGTGCCTGATGGCTCACAATCACATCTGACGGTGTGTGCTAAAAATACTGCTCACTGGACCAAAACACCAGCAGACACTGAATGAGCTGTGTGGGTGGTGGTAAGGTCAAGTGAGACTTGGACATGTGTAGGTACAAACATTGTCACTTAATGACAAGCTGGAGTTTCTCAATTTACGCTATGAATAGCTCTTTCCAGAGTGTGCTGAGGCCAGAGCAAACTCAGAGTGAAGGCACTTCCTGGAACACATTTGCTGCTCAGTTTTGTCTTCTTTCAGCCACTGTCACCTGTGGTAGAGTTTAATTTAAAAACTGATCTCACTGCTTGTCAGTTTGGGCAAAAACTGCATCAGGCCACACTAGATAAAACCAATCCACTGAACACTATTCTTGCCCGACTCACATGTCCTTCTCTTCACTCAGGAAATATAGGGAGCAGTTTCCACCACATGCTCTTTTGCAGCTTCCTTCAAAACAATTCACACAGACGTTTTTTCTTTTCCCTCATGGGGCCAGGTTTCTCAGAGCTCCCTCCATCTAACCTGGCCTTGAACACTTCAGGGATGGGGCATTCACAGCTTCTCTGGACAACCTGTTCCTGTGCCTCACCACCCTCACAGTAAAGAATTTTCTCTAATATCTAATTTAAACCTACTCTTAATTTAAAGCCCTTCTTCTTTGTCCTGTCACTACACACTCTTGTAAATAGTCTT